TTTAATGTATAACGGACGGTGTAAGTTAAATTATCTAATTATCTATTTCAGTTAATGTTAATGTTGCGTTGTTCCTTAATCTTCGAATTGGATCCCGCTTATTATTTTTTGCAGACTGTAAGAGCAATTTTATAAAAGTAAAATTGAACTTTCGATTATGTCAAATAGAATTTCCGATGCTGGAACTTCCAAAGGATCTACAAAACGAAAGTATGTTTCGATGTCCAACAAACAAAAAGTGGAATTGCTGCAAAAAATGGATAAAGACATGAAGAATGTGACAGAGAGGTTAGTGAAAACGAAAAATTTCGTTTGACAAGTTAGTCGGTATTCTCGGCACAGCAATTAACGGGACTTGAACAGCGGAACTTTGTAACTGAACAAGAAATTATGTCTGTTTTAATAGAATTAAAGAGAAAGTATTATCACATGAAACGAAGCAAAACTTAAACAACTTACATTAAAGAAATGTTTAATAAAGTAAACAAATAAATATTAAGCTTTTCTTTTTGCAAATTTTGATACCCTTTAGATCATATTGTTCTTTATTTTCCATAAATTACGGTTTCATATTTTTAATTTTAGAATTTCTGCATGCCATCTTACGAGATTTAAACCGATGATCTATAATCCGGAAAAATCGATAATCCGGAATCGCCGAAGTCCCGACGAGTCCGGATTAACGACTTTTGACTGTAATGTATTATCTAGCAAAATGTCAGAAATATATCAAAATTTTCTCGCATTCAATTATTTATGACGAAAAGAATAGTAAATTGTACTATTTAAAATCATAACAAACAAATATACATTTTCTATAAAACATTTATTGCAACATTTATATTTTATCTAGTCACTGTTTTCAAAATATGATTTGTACAATTATTACATAAACACATTTAAAATGCATTTCAACTATTTGTAGCTTAAGACCAAAAGATCCATAAAAAATATATTCTGCATAGCTGGGTTTTAACATTTAAAGGAATGTACAAACATTTACAATCTTATAAAATAGCAAAAACAAGTGCAATGAAAAAATCGTTTTTTTAAATTAAAAGAAAAAGAATAACTGTATTAGGTATAAAGTCTTTTTCCTACTTAACAAACAGTTTGTAACAAAATATTTTTAAAACCACTAAGTGTTTTTTTACGCTCAACGGATTTAAATTTTTTTACAAGCATGAAATCACAATATTAAAAACCTGATTGTAAATTTTATCACAAGTAGAAAAATTGCCACAAATATATGTCATCACAAGTACAAAAAATCTTGAATATTTTTACAGTAACAAACTAACAATGTTAACTAATTTCTAAACAAAATGGCAAGACTGCTCGATGTAAAATGGATATAAAAAATATACGGTCATAATTAAAAATATCAATACAAATATTCTTTAAAAACAGGAATGGCAACTCTTGGACCAAAAAAACTACTTAAAAGCCATTAATATTTTTAAAATCTTACCTAATGATGTAAAATATCAAATGCGATTTTGTTGGAAACTGCTTTAGACTAATATTATACGGAAGTGTTAGTTAATTTCCCTTTGTTTAGTAAGTTCTTATCTAATCTTTCTTTGATATAGTTTAAACAAAAAAGTGTAAACTATATCAATAAAAATAATGAAAACAGCAATTATTTAAAATATTTTTATCACATTTATCAAGCAAAATTGTTGATTTTTAAGAATATATACCAAACTGCTCATCTACTCATTAAAAAATATACATGTACTTTTTGATCTGGTTATTAAAATACTAATTACAATTTTCTGTATAAAATTACATAACAAGATGCATACCGTATTCTCGAGTTTATAAACTGCATGCTTAATTTTTACCTCTAAGGAAAAAAAAAAAAAATTCTTCAGGATAAGCCACGGATAGCATGTCAACTATCTGCAATATATATATATATTTATATATATACACTAAATAATATTGATTAATTGATGATATTATCTCCTAAGTTTAATTAAAGTAGAATGACTTAAAAGAGTGAATCCATACTAGTAAGTTATATTTTGAAAGATGTTTTGAAGTAACTTGAAAGTAAAATGTTAATAATGTTTTAACGGGGACTGGAATTAAATCATCATGAAAAACAAAATTTCAATTGTAAAACGAATAAATTAAAGGCAAGAATTAAATTAAATGCATGTAATCATTGTCATTGATCGGAATTTAAGATCATACACAGAGTCGTAGCTAGGGATTTCGCGCCCCCTACTGCTTGCCAAGGATGGAAAACATTTAATTCTAAAATGTCGTAACATCAGTTTGGCGCCCCTTGGATTCTGCGCCCGGGGACAGATGCCCCCTTGCCCCCCTCTAGCTACGCCCCTGATCATACGACATATATATATATTTCATTTTGGAGGTGTGAAAGCAGCTAAAATGAAAACTTATCACAAACAGAGACACATTTTTTATTATCAGTCAAAAGAAACATGTTTCTGTGTTTAATGCATCTTATTCACTGTTACTGTAGGACCAACTGTATCACTACTATTGGTTTGACAGTCACTAAGTATGAAGTACCAGTATCACTGTCACTGGTACTGGTACCCTACAACTAATTTTGTACAATTCTACCTAACTTTCACCCAACAATAATGAACTTTATACTCAATCACGAAATACATGTTGCTGTGTTATATGCAGTTATTTATAATCATACGGGTGTATCAGCAGTGACCCTGATTTTCATCTGCTTTTTTTTAAATTTATTTTGTGAAAAAAATGCAGCTTATTCACTAGAAAATACGGTACCTTTCTACTTGACATGTTTAATAGCACCTTTTTGGGGTTTTTTATAAATTAATATGAGGTTTTTAAATTTTTTTAATAAATTTTTGGTTCTATTTTTAATTGCTTCACAAATTTTTGATTATTTTTTAAAAGTTCTTTGGATCAAAAATTTTATTCTTATATACATAACAAATCTTACCACTGCTATAAAATACATCTTTCTTCAGCTCATACTACTTTACAATTTTACTACAGATTTCAAATTATTTTAACAAAACTATTGAGCTTTTATGACATTTGTTTAACAGTTTAAAAAGTATGCCATATATGTTATACAAAATTCGACTTAAAAATAGTTTTACAAATTAATATATTAGCAAATTTTACACTTTAATATGCACATATATATGATACATTAGATGTGTTCTTATGTTTAAATAAATAACCATTAGGAAAATTTAAACAAAACGATAGAAGTAAATATATATCATAATAACTCATTCATTATTTTCTCTCACTTCAATAATACAACTTTGAAGTAATGAAATGTGATTCAATACTATTTTATTACCAAAATAATTTAACTTGGGGATATTCAAAATATATTGATAAGAGGATAAAAATAAGGAAACTAATTATTTAAGCAAATTCCACATAAATAAAAAGTAATTTTATAATCCTAAGTATTTTATTCCTTTCACAAAATGTAAAAATATTTCAATTGGACAAATATTTCTAAAAAGGAAACAATATTATTTTTTGCATGCTACATATTAGAAACAAAGATTTTTATAGTATATTTCTTATAGCATGCTCAAATGACTAAAAAAATATGCAGCACAGCCATATGGCACTAAAACTGTAGCTTCCAATAACAGCTCCACAGTCTTGAAAGTTTCTCGAAGAAACTGTGTATTCGATGAAAACATTCATCTGCAAGCACAGCCACTGTGCAATTCAACAACCTTAATAGTGATGCATAACCAGTGCAGAAATCACATTATCTTCAAAACACATGAAGATTTTAAATAACCTAAATAGTTTATAGGTATTTGTGTTATAATAAAAGATGACTGCGAACACAGATGAAATGAATTACCTAAGCAACAAATTTTTGTACTTACTATACAGTCGTCTTGGTCCAAATAAAAAATAAGTATGCTTATTGAATAGCTGCTTATGAAGACAAATTCAACATTTACATTTTTGCGAGGTTCTCCAGATCTAACAATATGAGAAAACATTTACACGTGATCATAATTATCTTCATCTACTTCACATGCATTCTGATCCACTTTGAATTAAATGCACAATGAAGCATATAATGACAATATTAAACACTGGAAAAGATTATTGCTCAAGCACATATTTAAAAGAAGTGTATATGGAAGACGGCAAAGGATACTGGTATAGAAGATCAACATGCAGTTCATCCTTGCTTTCTGAAAATTAAGGCACAAGTTTTGGCATTCTTTGTATATTGAGAAGAAAAAAAATAAAACTAGTTCAGTCTGGAATGCAAAAGCACCAACATGTATGTATATCATATAATATATACAAAAAAAATTTTTTCTTATTCAGATCCTTCAGCAAAATAATCAGTCCATGAATGATAATGCTGAATTTTTTTTACTGAATGATAAAATTACATTCTTTTTTACATACGGATTTCCATTCAGCTTCTTCTAGGGGGAAAAATCTAACATTTTTCCACTTGCTTCTTTTTTTTCTTGATTAAAGGAAGAACTAATGCAATAATGTACAAACTCTGAAACTCTGAGGCACTTTGGAAATAGAGTAAATTTTAGGAAATGTTAACAAGTGCTGAATAGTGCCTGCTAAAGTGCTTGTGGGTTTTTCATTTACATTGCTACATGGCACATAAAGCCTAGTTCACTGGCTAAACATTTTGATTGAGCTGTTTTCTCCAGGAATCATTTATAACAGTAAACTTAAAAAAAAAAAAAAAAAAAAAAAGGATTATCCTTGTCTTCTAAAATCCTGTAAACATTTAACAATAACAATATCTTCAAAATTCTTCCCACTTTTCAATTTATAATACAAAAAACTGAGTCACAGCTTTAAATGCACTGCTTAAAATTCTACATGCTTCAAGAGAACTATTCTGTAGTATTTTCTCTCCATGTAGAAGCAAATGGTCACTTTATCTTGGATAGCATTATCTACAGAACTGGTATCTGCAGAGAGGAATCTCTGTACCTGGTTCACATAAAAAGTTTTTCTGCTTTCAGACCAATCAATAAATAAAATTAATTCAAAGAGTATGAACAAGATGTCACACTGTTGTTTCACTTCGGTGATGAGTCAACGGTGCAAGGTCTCTCTTAGCACCAACGTACTTGCTTTGTTCCTCACTACTGGATAAGCGATGGAAAGGTGGCGGTAATGGTTGGTTGTTGTTGGCACTGTTGTCATTCATCATGTGATATTCTAAATTGTCCATGGCACGTCTTTGAACGGGAATGAAGTCAGGAATATAGTGGTAATAACTAATTGGCCTCACATCCACAGTTTCTGCATGGGAGGAAAAAAAAGGGGGGGTTACTTTAATTTTCTTTCAGCTACTGTTTTAATTTTATATATCACTGTTTTAATTTTATATATATTTATATTTCATTTGAATTTAAATCAAAACCATAAATTACACATTTAAGAAATTGTACCATGGCATTTATATTACAGTATTTTCCATCATAAAATAAACAATAAAATCTTACTTTAAAGAAACAGAATATTTTTTCATGGGAAAAAGCATACATATCTAACACACAAAATAGAAAATTTTTTCCATATTTTGATTCTATGACTCAATTTATGCCAAATTGCCAAGTTTTGTAAAAAATTGCACGAGTAATTTTTTAAAAAATTAGCTCTCAAAATTTTAGCTCCTCCATGTTAATTGAATTTGGTATGTGTTTATTAATATCTCTTTCTTTATTAAACTTATTTGATTTTTCTTTCGCATTTCGAAACTTAGGTTCATTCCAAATAAAATTCACCCATTTATTATGATTTATTTTTTAAATTTTTATTTTTTACATAATTTTTAGAAATTTTTCGAAAAATGTTTTGCATTTTAACCTATACATTTTTACCATCATCTTAAGTATATAAAGTAGATGTATTTCTAAGCATATTTGCAAAAAAATTAGAATTTCTTTATTCAAAATTTCCTGAGATATACGTGAATTTACATATTGGAGGGTTTTGAAATTTGGCATATTTGTTGTAAGCGATAATAATGCCAAATGTGGTTTACACACTTTGTTAAAATTACTTGAAAGTATGAAAGGTGACGTTTTCTTCGTTTAGGAAAATATGTTGCTATAAATTAAGAAGTTCGCTAAGTAAATTTATTCTTGGCATAAACTGGAAAAAATGAGCCAAGATAATTTTTTCAATTTCTCCATGAATTTCCAACCAAAAATTTAATATCTAGACATAATTTGAGTCGTAGAATCAAATATGAAAAAAAAAAAAAAAAAACTGGTATGTTATTTCAGGAAAGTCTGATTTTGCATCAAAATACCTATGTTAGAACAATGCTATATATAAATCTAATATATATCCTATGTCTCACTTTCGAGACATGGAAAGCACAGGTTAAATTTCAACAATTGGTTCAGTAGAACAGGAGGTATAGAACTCCCCCCTCTTTTTTGTGTGTTTAGGAAATCAAAAAATTCCTCTACAGTCATGTGAGAGGTAAAATGTATGAAATTCACAGTTAATAAGATCGTAAAACCACAAAACTTCTGAATTAAAAAAATTTCCTAGTTTATCTTGATAAATATGTGGCACAACTTATCACATGCTGAGAGACTCACCATATAACAGAGACTTTGGTAGTAATGAATTTTCTGAATTATCATTCAAAAGCTAAAAGTAAAATTGCTCCTTTATGAAAAAGAAATGCTGAAAAATGAACAAATAATTCAATAAATTCATGTTGTGAATTACAAAGCAAATTATTTTGTTATTTTGATGAACACAAAAACTACTACCAAATAACTGATGATGACAAGTGGCAGTGTTTCAAAATCCATTGCAAAATAATCATGATTGTGAAGATGAAGTAGAAAACATTAAAAAAAAAAAGGAAAAAAACCCCATCTGAAAAATTTTACTTTAGAAGTAAAAATATGTGGGACTTTAGAAGCAGCCAAACTGTGTAATTGATCCAAAAATACCATTGGTATATAATTTGGGGGGAGATCCGAACAAACTAAAATTTTGAAACTGCTATTAAAGAGATAAGTGAAAAATGTAAAATATAACCTTCTGTATGTCTCTTTAAATGTTTTAACTACCATTTTCTTTCCATATGCTTTAATATTGCTTCACAAAAATATTAAAAAGAAATTAATTGTTTTTATGCTTTCTGTTTATTTTTATTTATTTATTTTTTTAATTTATTCTGTTTTTCTTTGATGTAAGTTTTTTCCTTACTGACCTGAAATCAAAAGGCCTTAAATTACATACAATTTAGGGTCTTATACGGATTTTTGCCCTTTTACTATATTATTGTAACAATACTAGCTAAAGATTTGAGACCATTTTACATAAGCTAATTTAATATACACTCCAAGAATGCATTAAGCTTGATATCTCTGATACTCATATTTTCATTTCTAAAATTTCTAGTTAATTATTCACATTTAAACAATATATCTTCCTTTTAAAAGAATTCAGACAGCACACAAACCAAGATAAATCCTGAAAGATGTTCAAAAGTTTAAATTTAAAAAAAAATGCAGATAAATTTTATTTATGTATAATTTCCAATGATCTATGAAAGGTTTCATATATGTTAACAGAATACTAATTTGCAATGTTTAACTACCACACATAAATATTTAATAAAATTCATAAACCATGAGAAGTTGTACTATATTAAAATTAGGATAGAATCGAAGAGGCCTGAAAACTAGAAATTACTTGTCAAATAGTCTGATATATAAAGATACATAACATTCTGCTATATGAAGATAAAGGGGTGTTAGCAGCCAAAATATTTTCAAAAAATGGTGATTTGGAATTTTTACATTTACAAATTCTCTACACTTTTATCTTTCTAAAAATACTATACTTTAATCATTAGAAAAATTAGAACTATAAAAATCTAGTTTTAATTTATCATCAAATGGTTTGATAAATGAGTATTTTTATTTTTAAATGCATTTTTCTCCAAATGTGATTTTTTTTTATACTCAATGTCCTTTTTTTCAGAAACTACAACTCATACGTATGTAAATTTTTTTATGGCTTATTTATTGTGTTTCCTAATGTTTACTAAAATGAGCTTTTTGTGATAAACTGCAGAAACACATTTTTTTAATCTTTTTCTTTTTTGGGGGGGGGGAATTGCTAAATTTTACTATGTCTAAATGTTTATTTCAATATAATAAAAAATTTGTACTTTAATTACACAAAAAATTTCAAATATGCATCTAAGGCAGGTTTTTGAGAAAAGCTACATCGAACATGGCCAATTGAACATGGTCGGTATATGGGGGTTTAAAATTTAAATGCTTCATAAAAGCAATTAAGCCAACCAACCTTTAGAGCAAAGGGAATTTTCTTTTCATCTCACATGTTTAACCAGCACACTATTATTTTGAGGGGGCCAATATTTGCATTAATTATACATAAAATATGCATTCATGTAATATTTTACATGAAAGAAAATTACTGAACTTGAAATATTTCTCACAATATACTCCTTGCATGTGAGACAGAAAGATTAGAATTTAATATTCTAGTCATGAACATTAAATCCCTAGCCTTTTGTATTTTATGATTCAAATGTCCATTATTAATAAAAACAATTGTTAACATCCTTATATGAATATGAAAAGAAACTCAATTACATTTTGTTAATATATAAATAAATGAATGGAGAGCACATACCAGGTAAATGTGTGTCTCCAATAAGATCCATGTATCGAACAGATGGACCTTGAGAACATGACGCTGGCATTAAATAATCTTCTTCATCCACAGGCAACACTGGTGGTTGGCTTAAGTACTTGTCATTAGGATCTAGCTTGTGCATGTCACCTACTATAAATAACAAGATTTCATTACAAAGGGATCTCAGTGATCAAGATCTGAAATATATGCAACTTAGAACTTTAGAGTCACTTAAAATCTTCAAGTCCTCTATATGTGGTGAACAGTATTAAGCGATTTTATTTTATCATACTATTATAAGTAACTTAAGTATTCACAGAAACTTGCGTGGAAGTCTCTAAGTCAACAACAATTCTTATAAATGTGTATCAAATGTGATTGAATAGCGATTTAATTGCATGCCATTGTAAGTTATATCGTTGCAGAAACTGAACAGGAGGTCTTGAAGTTAACAGTGCTTTCTAAGTTCACATAAAGTCTAACTGAAATAAAATATATTTAAGAATTAAAAAAAAAGCAAATAAATATATTAGGTGTTTGGAGATTAAATTTTCAGTTTTTAAAATTTGGTGGGGGGGTGTAAAGCTATATTTCTTGAATTTATATTAAATTACGAGCTTCCTAAAAGAAAATTTTTAGTCTGAAACAATAAATAGTACTTACATATTAAAATCTGTGTCATAAGCCCATTAAATTTCATATCAAATATTAAATTCATAAAGCTACACTACAAACTACAATCTTTAAAATAAATAATTTATGAAAATTATTTACAAAATTATTAAACTCATCCATATAGCTCAAAAAATTTCTAGTTAGTAAATAAGTTATAGGCTCCTACATCCATGAAAAAAATATAATACACACTATACCTAAACTAAGACATAAGAATCCTTTCTATTAAAAGATTATGAAATACATTTTTTTCATGCTTAACATGTGTGATTATACACTAAACACAAACACTGTTATTTTTGTTACATAAAATCATTATTTTTTACTTATATTACTCTATATTATTATGCATTACCTATTTTAGTACTTCTAACTCTATATTATTATGTATTATCTATAGTATTATGACTTTTGCTTAGAGTCTATGCTCTTAGATGTATAAAAAACATACGCTGAGGGGTAGTAAAACTATATATTACTTAAAAATTCAACTAATTGTTAGAATAATATTATCATACATCTCTAATTTGTTAAATGAAAGCTAGATTTTAAATAGCAGTAAAATAAAAAAGTAAAAACATACCTTTTCCAACCACATTAAGTGGATCAGGGCAATATCTTGGCACAGGTGGCTGGTCAGGCAATCCTTGACCATTATACCATATGCTAGATTTGTTAGGCAGTGGCATGATAGGCATCTCTGGCATTGACTGGAAGTTATTTGGTGTTAAAGTTGGAGTGCTTCTACTCTCTTGAGGAAGCTGCAAGGAAAGAGATATCTAAATTATCATCTTATGTGTTATTGTTACATTAAACTGCACATAATATTTAAATGCATATTTAAATAAACTGTACATAGCATTTAAAGCTTTAATCCACTTACTTGGGACTTATCTACAGAATCTGTTTCAGCTCTATTTGGATCATCATCTAACTGAGGATGCAAGTACTGTTCAGCATCCATAACCACTCCAGGTACATCTATAGATGTGCCAATTGTTCTGACAAGTTCTCTAATGTCATGAGCAGAATATGCTGGCAACTGAAGCAGTTTATCACCTTTGACGACTAGAAATCGACCTGGGTCTCTGGCCATTTTAGAGAATTGGTCTGCCAATTCTTTGAATGTTGGTCGTGATTCTGCATCAAGCATCCAGCCTTGAGAGATTTTAAGAAGGACATTAAGTTTATTTTAAGTAATTCAATACATGAAAGGATTAAAAAAGTTACCGAGACACATTAATATAGATTGCATCACAATAAAAAAAGGGGGAAAATTTTAATTTTGATACCAGACTGAAAACAAAATACTAAAAACTTTTTAGTTAATTCAGTTCTAAACAGAATAATATAATTATCTGTTTAATGCACAGATATAGAACCTGATATTTTAAATACATACATAATATGTAGCATTTTTTGTGATGCAGCTTTTAATCAATATAAAATTATATTGCATAATAAAACACAAAATTCAAAACTTTTTAATAAATTTAATCGTTCTTCATTTTACAGTGCACTGACCCAAATATATGATAACTTAGAAGAATATGCCTTTTCAAGATGTTTCAAAAATAAAATGAAGGGGCTTTATATGAGACAACTTTACTATACTTACTTTTTTTTACAATATTGTATAATACAGAAAAGACAAACACTCCATTTGCAACTTGAGTGAAATGAAATAAATGTAATACATTTCAGCTCAAACTGCAGTATTTAGATCATCTTTATAACATGGATGAGTCAAAATGATTGATCCAATTACAAAGTAATTTATTTATGCAGTTATAGGATATATTTTTGAACAACTAAAGAAGAAAAAACTTAGAAATTTATTAGAACTTATTATTTTTTACTAGTTACTACTAGTTGAAATAAGATATAACCTTCAAAATGATTGCAAACAAAATAAATATGTACAGTCAAAAGTCGATAATCCGAACTCGTCGGGACTTCGGCGATTCCGGAATATAGATCATCAGTTTAAATCTTGTAAGATGGCATGCAGAAATTCTAAAATTAAAAATATGAAACCGTAATTTATGAAATAAAGAACAATTATGATCTAAAGAGTATCAAAATTTACAAAAAACAAGCTTAATATTTATTTGTTTACTTTATTAAACATTTCTTTCAATGTAAGTTGTTTAAGTTGCTTCGGTTTTATGTGATAATACTTTCTCTTTAATTCTATAAACAGACATAATTTCTTGTTCAGTTACAAAGTTCTGCTGTTCAAGTCCCGTAATTGCTGTGCCGAGAATACGGACTAACTTGTCAATCGAAATTTTTTCATTTTCACTAACCTCTCTGTCACCTTCTTCATGTCTTTATCCATTTTTTGCAGCAATTCCACTTCTTGTTTGATGGACACCAAAACATACTTTTGTTTTGTAGATCCTTTGGGAGCTCCAGCATCGGAAATTCTATTTGACATAATCGAAAGTTCAAGTTTACTTTTATAAAATTGCTCTTACAGTCTGCAAAAAATAATAAGCTGGATCCAATTCGAAGATTAAGGAACAACGCAATCATCAACATTAACTGAAACAGATAATTATATAATTTTAGCTTATACCGTCCGTTAAACATTAAACGTGCACGCGAAAACATATTCTGCGCTTGCGCACATGCATATGCGCAGTCATAAAGGTCTTACATGCGCACGTAAACGCCTATGCGCATGTGTCAACGCGGCGCATGCACAGAAAGTTTTTAGCTTTGAGGTCCAGATTATAGATCATTCCAGATTATGGGTGTCCAAATTAACGACTTTTGATTGTATCAACAAATTATAAAGATTTATTCCTTGCATTTTACTCACTTTTAAATAGCAGTGTGAAACTGTGTGTTACTTATTATTATGAAAAAGATTATGACGAAGAAAATATTTTTTACAGTTACTTATGGGAAGGAAGTGTGCTACTACTTACATTTAATCATGAGCATATACACATCTATAGTACATATTGAAGGCTGTGGTAATCTCTCGCCTTTCTCTAGTAAATCAGGAACTTCTCGAGCTGGAGTATTTTCATAAGGTCTGCCACCATATGTTAACAATTCCCATACAGTTACACCTGTAGATAGAATTATACTTTTTTGTCACTTTCATCTTTCTTTCACAGAAAATTTATCAAATAAACGAAACTGAAATACTTTTTAAATGCTACTTGAGACTCAAGAGTATTATAATTAAAGCCAATGTCTTCGCACTCAAAATAACATAATTTGTTCACATATTGTTAACATCAAATGTTAACAACTCCTTTTGAGTCACACCCGTGGAACAGACTTTTTGTTATATTCATCTTTCTTTCAATATAAATTAAACTAATAAAGTGAGAATACATAAATACTTCTAAATGCAGTTCAAGATTTAGAATATATTCGAGTCAAGATATTAGACTCTACACTCCAATATAACATAATTTGTTGATATAATATTTTTACTCTCCTCAGCCATAAAATGTCTGCTACAACATTTTAGAAGTGAAGGGTACCATAAGAATATAATCAAAGAGAAAAAGAATCAAGGCAAATAATTAGAATCTGTAAAACAATACAGCTTTCACTAAAATTTTACTCTGAATAAAAAATGCCTACTTTATTTTACTTTTCATGGTATATAAACAAAAGAATCGATAACTTTTCAATCAAAATAATTACATTTTTTGTATTAAATACCAATACATTTTTAAGAAATCTAATTAGCATTTCATGATTTAAAATGCAACTTTGCTTCATGCTGATCTTACTCTTTGTAGCATGAAAAATGGGTATGTAGTTTTGAGTTAAAAACAAAGTCATTTTAGAAACAGAAACAAATGAAAAATAAAAATGAGATACATTAATTAAAAATAAATAAATAAAACTTTAATGTAGCAACATATACAAAACAGAATGATGAAACTTAAATGAAATAAAAAAGAAATAAACAAAAAACAGTTCTTTTATCCCAAATGCAGTCTTAAACTAGATAAAACAGCAAAAATCTCTCTTCCTAACAGGATAGAGTAATCATTGTTCTACCATTAAAAAGCAAATTTTGAACAATTTTTCTTTATTATTTAGATAATATATTTCCTTAAAAAATGGGAAATGTACATTCCTTTTGGGAGGATTTATTCTGAGGAACTTTTCGTATGATGTGCCATTATGGTTTAACTTTCTATTGTACAACAGCAGTAATTGTTGACAGCATACCATAATTGTGGTATTCTAAAAATACACATTTTTCTCCCATATAAATATTAAAAATTTATAAAATAGGCTTTGAAATTTTTATATAATATTTGATTTTATAAATATTTAGACCTCCCACTTACTAGTAATATTATATCATATAAATGTTATGTTACTTATATTCAGAAAACTACTACTGAAGAAATTACCTAAACAATCATGCAAATGAAACACAATATATTCATTTTATAAATTCAAATACTTTAAACTTTTATAAATGATTATAATATGCAATTAAATACACAAACTTACCAAATGCCCATACATCACTCTTGTGTGTGAAAACTCTGTGCTGTATGCACTCCAAAGCTAACCACTTTATTGGCATCTGAAATACACATGACATATTAACACAAACTGCATAAAAAGGTGAAATTACTACCACATACAAAGTGAAACGTATAACTATATTATTTAATTTGATATCATTTGTTTGGTCTCAGGGAATTTTTAAAGTAAATGAAGTAGTTATAAAATACTGATTCTCAATTTACTTCTGTAAATTGAGAATCAGTATTTTCGGAAGTCTGTATATTAATACTGTACATGGCTTATATTAATTAAAGCTATAATATTATGAAGATTCTGATGCAAATTCCTAAATTAACTCTTCATTAACTAGACTATACCATTATAATAACCAGATTTTGTTTTAAATACCTTAAGTTCTGTTCTATAAAATATTCTATATCTCTAAGGTACTCTCTCTCTATCTGTTCTCTAAGGTACTCTATATATGTCAGATTTATATTCTTATTAATTTATCACTATAATAATTCAAATTTATATTTGATTTTCAACTGAAAAATGGCAGTAGTCAGCTTGCTATAAAGCATTTCAAGTTCCATATCAAAACTCATCATCACAAAATACCAGTAAATTTTGATTACAAATGTGTTATGAATAACTGTTTTTCTAATTATTAGATATCATTATATTTTTAATTTTACAGTTAATTGGTATTTATAACAATTATTTTTAAAATATAAGCACTGATGAATTTTAAACATAAATCTCTAGAAACTATAATACTACTTCTACTTATGCAGAAAAATTTAAGTCAACACCTGTATGTAAAACTTCTGCAAACAGAATCAAATTAACCCTCTCAGGGGCACAGGTTTTTTTTTTTTTTTTTTTTTTTTTTTTTTTTTTTTTTTTGGATCTGTCATGAATGCCTTTATTTAAAAAGACTTTATCAGGTAAATTTATTTATTGGCCTTTATTAGATAAATTTGTTTTAGTCTCTACTTTCATAAACTTATATTTATAAAGATGACATTCATGTTATTAAAGCAAGTAAGAAAGCAAAATATCTTAAATTATAAGCTAATGGATACCAAGTGGCAAAAAAATCTAATAACCAGATAAAGCTGATCATGGGCTCAGAGCTGTGTGAAGCTGCCAAAATGTACCAATTTTCTATTAATTGCAAAGATGCAGTTCTGTTTCAGAACTTTGTTCCATATTTCTTTAGTCTTTTTAGAAATAACTACCCATCAAAAATATATTGCAGTTAGCCTTCTGATTCATGAGCTAATTCGAAAACAATCAATTGGCAAAAACCATGACTATTTTGTTTAGCCTTTCAAACACAAAAAGTAAATACATATATTCAAGACAACTGGTACTTTCAAGCAGCAATTAACTACTTCATAGGGGCCTCAAGTGACTTACTCTATCACATAATTAAGTATGCATCTCATGTAAACATATTACTTAATATTTTATAATTATTATGTTTATGGCAATGAAATCTTTCTATGGCTTACATAAGAAATTATAGAAAATTCACCATTCAGTCACTTGTTAAAAAGAATAATTAGTGCAGAACAAACGGCAATCTACTGAAAAGAATTACACGATTTCAAGATTTCATTCACATCATACATATGTTACAAATAATGTCAAATTAACAGATTTTTAAATGAAAAAAAGTGATAGTATTTATTAAGCTAAAGGCATTGTTATTCTTTAATATATGTTATTTTATATTAGTTTAGTGCTATATTACTTTAACTTCCTAGATTATAAACAATTTTTTCCCCTATCCAAGATTTCTGAGAATTGTTTGAAATATATTAGCAACACAAATATTATAAAATACACACATACATATTCGAATTTAAGCAAGTTTTATACAGCATTTAATGATAATTTAATAATAAATTTTAGCAACTGTTTTTGTTTTATCAGCTTTACATTTCAAATATAATGAAACCTGAAAGCTTTTAATTCATGAATTAATTTTGCTATAATTTACAAATTTATAAAGGAAAGGAAGATAATGAGCATTTTAATGAAAAGAAAATGTTATGAATAAATTTGCTAGGAACAAACTTGATCTAATTTTCATTTATGCTAAGTATACTATCTGACACTGAATATAATTTTAAAATCCATCAAAATCTTGACAGAGCAATAACAGTTGCATGAAAAGACAAAAGAAGTTGAGTGTTATTCTTAGTCAAATGCTTCAACATTAAATACAAAGTTAAAAAGAAGATTTTTACTAATGTTTATGATTTTACTCTCGAATACAGTAGTATTTTTCCCCTTCAAATTTTCTGCTGTGGAATTATAATTACAATTTGTTGTAATCCTTTAACATGATTTCACTCACTAACTATATATGTACTAATTAATTATTCAGATTAAATGATATTTTACTACAAATACACATTTATGTTTTGAAACAAAATACTTTTACATACCTTTCCTCCTTCAGCTTTATACTCTTCTTCATTAATATCTAGGAACCTGGCCAGGCCAAAATCAGTAATTTTAATACAGCCTGGAGTTTGCACTAGAAGGATGTAAGAAATAATTAATTTTATAAAATTTCAACAAAATACAAGATCTAGAAATATATGTGATTATTTTATTTAAACTACACTAGCATTACCAAAACTATACCTACATAAAACATTTCTCAAAGCCAAGTCTCTGTGAACCATACGCTTTTCTTCCAAATATGCCATACCCTATTTAAACGAAATTCAAAACATCATAAGTAGTTGCAAAGAAATACTTTAATTAGTTTGAAAAATTAATAAATGATAATATATCATTCCTAAGACTAAAAGTGGAAATTAAAATGATGAAAAATATTTTTACGTCAAGACACAGAAAGATAATGCACGCAGGGCTTAATTTCTAAAAAAAGAGGGAGCCATACAGAAGACTGTCAGGAAGAAGGAACAAGAGTAAATAAATAAATAAAATGACTATTAAAGTCATTAATACTTTTAAAATTAAATAGTTAATGGCAATCAAATTAATTAATAATTAATTAACCAAGATATGAATATTTATTAATTGTTGTTTAATTAGTGATTATTTAATTAATTCGTAATTAATTTTGGTGTTGTTTTATAAAAAATAATTAAAGATTAAAGTGCTTAAATAATTAAAATTAAATAAAATGTAAAGAGATAAATTAAAATTTAATAAATAATAAGCAATTTTTAATATAATTTTAATGCTAAAAATAAACTTTTCAAGATCATATTTCTACAGAAATTGTTGTTGAATTACATAAAAGAAGTGCCAGAGCCTTCTTATTTAGGGCTCCAGTGTGCTCAAGCTAGAATTAGCATTTATCCCAAAAACTAAGAAGTACCAGAGCAGAGCTCCAATGCAACTTAAGCTCTGAATACAGGAATCTTATATATAAGTATTAAACATTATTAGTTTTCTTTTCATAAATTAAAATTCATTTTTGATCAGTAAAGTAAATCAATGTACAAGATTTTATGTACTGTAAATTTTCACTTACTCTTGCAATTTGGGAACACCAACTTAAAAGGGGTTTTGAGCCAATTTTATCCTTATTGGAACGAACATAATCCAATAAACAACCTAAAGGCATGAGCTGAGTCACGAGCATAAGTTGTGAAGCCATGCAGATTGCAAGAAGTTTCAGCAGGTTAGGATGATCAACACTTGCCATAAAATATGCTTCCTAAAAATTTTTTGTAAAGATTGGAAAATTTTATTAAAAACGAAAGTACACCATTCTAATCATGTGCAAGTAAATTCAATGTTACTTCAAACCACATTTAATTTAAAATAACTATTTAGATATTTTTTTAGAATATTATTTCATTTCAAATCATCATGCTGAATATTTTTAATACAATATGCATATTAAGAAAAATAAAAAGTAAATTTTTTCTACAGTACAAAGTCTGAAATCTTGATGTCCAATACCCAGACCAGCTGCCCAGACGGTGTAGTGGTTGTTAGGTATAGTGGCTGCAATACCAAACAGACTGGATTCGAATCCCACAAAAGGCATGGTTTTAAAGGTCTTCCATAGAAGCCAAAGGTGGCCCACCTATTAGTCCATAACAATAAAGTGACCACCACTTCTGGCTTTACTTGCGGCCAAGCCAAAGTCAGCTAAGGGCCCACCATTATGGAAAAAAAATATATATATATATATCCAGACCTCTGGGTACTACCAGCAATTTAAAAAAAGTTTTTTTTTTTTTTTTTTTTTTTTTTTTTTCTTTTTCTCAAAAAGGGAGAACGAATAAGATTTAAAGAGTAGTGTTTAATATATGCTTAATATCTCATGCATTCACAATACACATTTTTTTCTTCATATAGAAGATGGAGTGTCTTGATTCATAATTTTCCTTTGGCACTAAATAAACCACCTCCATGGCAAAGGAACTCGGTTCTTTATTAGCATGGATCTGTATGATAAATAATTTTGCTCCATAGATACTTTTTTGCTTGGCATTCAGCTCAAACTGAAACCTTCTACCCGAAGTTTATTGCCTACTGAATTACATCCCTTACACCAAATAATTTTTTATTATTTTTTGCTTTCATCACCACATGACTATCAATTCATGGCAGCTTGAGAAATAACTCAGCAATGTCTGAAACACTTTTTTTTCCTTAATATTAATAACCGAGTTCCAAACAATATATTAACCTTTTATATTAAAACCACAATAGGCGATAATTACAGCCTTTGCCCATCTGCACTGTGAATTGTCAAACGTGTTGATAAGGTGAAATTTAACACAGATTTCTTTCTATGTGGGGGGGGGGGAAGAGATTTTGTAAATGATATTTAAAGGCCAAAAGATTACATCTGGTGTTTTTGAATTAAAAATAATTGAGTTGTTGTTCAAATAAGCCATGGGCTAGTGAGTGTTAGGCATTTTGCTGTCTGATACAATCTCTGCCACTCTTAAATTCTACTCAATAGTTCCTCATCTAAATTCTAAAAATTTTGGGGTCCCAGTGTGGCCACACCATTTGGATCAAGCTCTGGTGCTGGCTCTGGATAAGCCTCAACTGTGTGGGAGGAAATTTATTGATTCAGGACTCAGTTAAGCCTTAAGCGAGTGCAGGAAATAGAGGCAAGTATAATAAATAACTAAATTAATATAATTCAGGCTTAACTTTTTTAGCATACAATAGAAGCAAATCTAAATCGAATGGAACAACATGTCTTTAGTCACTAATCTCACAATACATCACTAACAGAGTATAGTGGACACTAGCTAAGCTTTATGATGATAGCTGTGAATTCAAACATTTTTTAATATTGCAAACAGAAAGCAAAATTTTCTAATTAATGGAATTTATGAAGAGATGTGGAGAAGTAATGAACATAATATAACAGTAGCTTCCCACTGCGATAACGGTGCTCTAATCATCACTCAATTAATGAACTGTGAAATCTCTAATATGGTTCTAAATCCAGAAAATATCACTACAAATAATGAAGAAATTGACAGAGAGGTTAGTTAAAATGGAAAATTTTTGACTGCCTATTTAGAGAGAATTCTTGATATTAAAATTGCAGGACATGAACAATGGAATTTTTTAATTGAACAAAAAATTATGTCTATCTATAAAATTACAGAGAAAGAAAGAAAAAAAAAACAATCAAACAGTTTAAAAACTTACATTGAAAGAAAGGTTTAAAAAAAAAAAATAAATATTAAGCTTTTTTTCTTTTAAATTTTGTCAAAGTCATAAATACCTCATTATTTCATAAACAATTATTTTAAACTTTTAATTTCATAATTTCTACATGCCATCTTACTAGATTTTAATGGATGATTTAAAATCCAGAGAATTCCGAAATCTAGAAGAGCCAAAGGACTAGCAAGTCCGGTACTCAGACTTTGTACTGTATTATAATTTAATGCAGTACTTCACATAGAGCAAGCAGAAAATATTTTTTATGCCTTTGATGAAAGGCGATATGCGAAAAAAAATTTTGCTTTCATTTTCAGTGTTTGTGTCATATATTCTCATTTTAAATGTTTAATGCTTATGTGAATGAGTATATTTTACTTCATCGTGCTGGTTTCATATTGAGTTTGTCAGATGTATATTATCATGCCTTCATAAACTTCACAAAAAAACATCATTTACAAATTTTGCACTAACATATAAAAGAAAATGTATACATAATCTCAGCAATAAGAAAAAGAATTACTTAAATTTTAAATTACTGTGTTAATTAAGTATGTTGCCAATAACCAAATTTGGAAATCAGTGACTTAAAAAATTTAAATTTTTAGTTCTGTTTAGATCTTAATTTACAATTTTTAGCAATTTTTAGAAAATAAATTAAACAGTAAGTTTTATCAGAGTTTAAAAAAGAGTAAGAATACAAAACAGGTGCAAAACATTTCTTCACACTGAAAAGAACTTCACTGATACTGAATCAACATGCTGAATATCTATTCTAAATAGTCAAAACTTCTTAACATACCTCCAGAATTTCTCTATTGTTATTAGGACAAGCTCCATCGCGAAGCACCTTTATTGCCACGGGTATTTTAACATTTTCATTCTCTGGAACCCACACACCCTATAAAGAGAAGATAAATGTGATAATTAACAGGATATGATACCAGTTTTTAGAACTCAAATATGTGCAAGGATAGAAAGATATAAGAGACTGAGATTAACAGAACATATAAATTTCTATTTTGTTTTAGAGATACATATTCGTTGTTTTTGATTATGTATAACATAACATGAAGTTTCATGATTCTACATTTTTATTTTAAATATTCTACATTTTACAAGAGCATTCTACATTTACGTTTCACAATAAGATACATTTTCTTAATTAGAATCTTATGTAAGAATAGTTAGTTATCATTGAAACTGCTAGTCACATGGATAAAATACAGAAGAGTTACATGAATTGATTATAACAGTTAAAATACAAAGAACTAAAGAATTACTGAATGATAAAATATCATTCTCACAATTTTTCAAGAAAACTAAAATTAAAATCCATAACATTTTCACAAGTTCAAAAACAGACAAATTTCAGCCTTAAGTTCTTTGGTAAAAAAAAAAAATTATGAAAGAAACTAGAGTACAAAGTCTGAAATCCTGGCTGATCTAAAATTCGGACCTCAAAACCACCAACAACATTTTTCGCGTAGGCTTAATAAAGGCGCAGCATTTGTAACCACACACACATAATAAAACATCTGGAGAGACCTGATTTTTACATTTTAGCATAAATTTCTATGATCACTAATTTGGTTCCATTGCTGCGTATCTGCTTGGCACAAATCTCAAACTGAAATATTACACATAGATACATTGTTGATCTGATGCCAACGTGGCAAATCATTATTTATTATACTTTCCTTTTATCACCACATGTTTATCAACACATGACAACTTGAATAATGACTCATGTAGCAATTCCTAAACATTTTTTTTTTTTATTTATTTTTATGTAGTAACTGAATAACAAAGGAGTGTGGTAACCTTTTATGTTGACATTACACTTGGCGATGATTACAGATTTAAGTTAAATGCACTTAAAAATGTTGACGAGGAAAAAATTTAACAAAAATTTCTTTCCATAAGCTAAAAATAGATTTTGTTGATGATACTCATAGATTACATTTAGGGCTATTTGAATTTCTTTCCATAAGCTAAAAATAGATTTTGTTGATGATACCCAAAGATTACATTTAGGGCTATATGAATTAAGAATAACTGATTTGTTATTCACATAAACGCAGAACCAGTGCCAGGACTCATAAGATGTCACCGGGTCGAAGAATTTAGGACCCACAGAGACTGCATCAGGTGGTAAGATATCTAGGACAGGCCCTCAATAAGGCTTAGGTATATGTGGGAATTTATTTATTCAGAACTCTGAACATATGCAAAAAATAGACATAAGTATAATAAATAACGAAACTAATTCAAAGCTTAATTGTGTCAATGCACGATAGAAGCAAAATAAAATTTAACAGAACAACTTGTCGTTAGTCGCCAAGCTCATGATGTGTATCCAAATATGTATAGTGAATGACAGCTAAATTAATGATGATAGCCGTGATTTTTAAGTGAAATTTTCCAATTAATGGATTTTAAAAAAATGTGAAGAAGTGGTAATAAAGAAGTTTTTCATTGCGATGACAATGCTTTTCAATCATCAATAAATTAATGAACGGTGAAATCTGCAGTATGGTTGTAGATTCAGAAAATACTCCTACTGATAGTGAAGAAAGTGACAGAAAAGTTACTGAAAACGAAAAAATTTCGCTTGACAAGTTAGTCGGAATTCTCAACACAGCAGTTACAGGACTTCAACAATGTAACTAAACAAGAGATTATGTCTGTCTACAGAATTAAAAAGAAAGTATTAGCACAAAAAACAAAGCAACTTAAACTACTTACATTGAAAGAAATGTTTAATAAGGTAAACAAATAAATATTAAGTTTTTTTTCATATCCTTTAGATCATCAATACTTCATTATTTCATAAATCATGATTTCATATTTTTAAATTTATAATTTCTACATGCCATCTTACTAGATTTAAACTGATGATCTATTATCCGGAAAAATCCCAAATCCGAAACCGCCAAAGTCCCGACTAGTCCGGATTTCATACTTTGTACTGTATACTACACATGAATAAGTTTCATAAACACATCAATGAAAAATGATAAAAGTAACTAAGTGAAACATGGTACATATATTTTAATCCTAAATTAATGTAAGTAAAAACATAGTGATATCACATAAAAAGTTCATTTTCAATAAATATTTAACTATGGAGAGTTTAGAGCACACTAACCTTATATACAGTTCCAAAAGCTCCATAACCAAGAATTCCACCTTTTCTTAAATCTGCTTCCTTTACTATCCGAAGTTTTGCTAAATTTGGCTTGACATTAGTGGGCTTTAAGGGTTCATTATCCTCAAAGCCAGTCATTCTCTGAAACCAAAAGAAATTAGGTCAACTTCAATGAGGAAATCAGAAAAACATTTAACACTTCTTTCTATATAAAGTTTATACAAGTTCCAAAAATTAGATTAATGATAAAAATATTTTTTGTAATACAGCAATTTAAAGATATTAATTTTATTAGGTTAAGCATTTGAAGTAGTACAACAATGTTACTCTGAATGCTTAAATGGCACTTTCATCTGAAAGAGCAAAATGTTTGTTTTATAAATACTATTGGCTTATTGAGTGTGAGACTATATACACTAAATAACTAAATCTCCTTCACTGAGATGCAAAAATATGCAATTTGTTCTTCCAGATGAAAATCTTACGAAATCTTTTTTTGTGGGGTAGGGGAGATAAGTTTTTAAAAATCATTAAAAAAAACATGATTCTGTACTTGTTACTTTCACAGAATTGTAGTTTTTTTTAAGCAGGAAAGCATAAAATAGCTAAAGATACATGACTTCTCATGCAACATATACACTTTGACTAACATACAAAACTATTATCTCACATAATTACATATATTGTCAATATTCAAAGAATTTGCTTTGATATGTTACATACTTTTGAATAATGTTAATAAATTATTGAAAGAAAAATTTATAATATTAATTCAAAACGATTTTTGGCTACTATGAAACAATATTTATGTACAATATTAAAATATAATGCGTACCATTGTCATCATCATAGTATTTTCTTTGGTTTTAACTCTCTGCATCCACTGATATCCAAACACAGCCAAAAATGCTGCTAACAAGAGAAGACAGCCTACAACCCCTCCCAGTATTGCTGGAATATGTTCCTCTTCTCTGTAAAGCAGGAAAAAAAAAATTTATTCAAAATTTATTTAAAAGAATCACATATTTCATAAATTAAGATAGTTTTACATAAAAATTCCCATCAACAAATTATCATGTAATTTACAGCAACAGTAATTTGTAATAGGCATGCAAACAACTTACACCTAAATATGTACCTACAAAAAATTATTTTTCTAATTAAATGGTGTTTAAATTTAAAATAATAATACATTTTTGACAACCTTTTAATAATGTTACATAACAATTGTAGGAATTTTTGTAACTATAAGCAATAACAAACAAGGCAAACAAAAAAAAATTTCCAATAAAATATTTATTACAGAATTCTTTCAATCAATTCACTAATAAATTATTACTAACTCACTCAAATGCATGAAACAACAAGTAAAAAAATTGTTCCTGTAAATAATTCTTGTCATTCAGTACACTGTACTTTAGTCTTCCTACAGTGACAATGCATTTATGCTTGTGAATATTAAGGATGCCACAAGCACCGAAATATGCATTTACAATCAAGCATTATATGTCCTATTTTTGAATTATTTTTATTATAAGGCCTGAAATTTATTTTTATACCATGTTTATGCTTTTATTTTTATAATAGGTACAAATTATGTGAATTCTAACTCTTTAAGTGATATAACTGCTAATAAATTTCCTTATTAATATATATTTCACCCACTCAGCACCTACTTCAATATAATACAAGAGAGCTTTGTAACATGAGATTAAGCTCCTTACATAAAACAATGAAAGAGCACTATAATTTACACATAAAGACAACACTTAATGCATAGCTTCACAATGAATTGAGATGCTGAGTTATTTTGATGGGTTAAACTAGCACATCTAATATCTGAATATTCCATAAACTATATTAATCTGAATACACTTTCTGAATTATAGTAATTTGAAAGAATAAAATTAGATAAAGAAAATTATTTTTTACTTACATTCCATGATACGTAATGGCTATAGGATCAGTCTCAGAGCAATATGGATCATCTGTGTTGTCATCAAACCTTTTAAAGGGTTTTTCAGCAGGACAAGATGCTGTACAATTGAACTGAAAAAAAGAAAAAAGAAAAATATATATATATATTGTTAATTCTACAGAACAAATACAAATTCAATTAAGTTAAAAACTAAGTATGCAAATTTAAGTCCTTGAGGGGGCACCTATGGGACATTTTACAAGTAACTTTATATTTTTCTCTAAAATGTCAAAGAATGTATTTATTGTTTATCTGACTTTTAGTTAAGACTGTTTGCCACTGAAAGCCTGTATTCTACTTGCACTTTCAATACTTTCAACTACGCTTTCTAAACAGATTGTTTTAAGTGGTATAAGGCATTTGGTACATTCTATTTGTTTATGCCTTCACAAACCTGAACATTAATTTTTTATTTCACATAACAGTGTTAAAGGCTATATTTTGGTTCTAAACTTATATTCAATTTTTAATTTCTTTTAAACTTTCATCTCTTTTTTTTAATCTTTTCATTACAATTTCTTGTCATTAACAACATATTTAGCTTCCTATAAGTGACAAACTAGAAATCCTCCATGTTTTTCAATAGTTCACTTTTGTAATATGGTCAAGGCATTACGGGCTAATTTATTAAGAAATTTGTCAATTATTACAAGAATTGTAAAGAAATGATTATGACTATTTACGATAAAGATGAAATAAATATCCATAATGAGCCCAGAAGTAAATTTTATGTAAATTAAAATTTAGTGGCTAGACTTTTTATACAAAAATAGTGTTCCATAAAGAGATAAAACACTTTACAAAAGCAAAATTGAAAAAAAAAAAAAAAAAAGTGTAAAATATAATATTAAAATTTATTATAGTAATGGGCTAATCTGTTTAAATTACAATATTAACAAATATCAAAACAATAAACACTAAATTAATGCATTTCTAACTGAAATGAAAATTTCAAGTGGTGCATTTTCAACAATCTTCCTTGTAAATCTTAATGGGAGTTTGAAAAAAAATCATTAAAATAAAACAAATGAAGAAACATTCCAGCATTCTCCAAAGTACAAATTGACACCTTTGACTAAAATGATTCAAGCAAGCTTACGGTTAACACACTTACCACTGTTCTGTTTGAGGAGAGATACACACGATAATTCCGACAAGCATGGCAATCTGTACTTGAGGGTCCATCACAGCCCCGACATTCTTCAGCACATTTTAAACAATGGAAGTTTGTATTGTCAGCATAATGGTCTCTTGGGCAAGTATCTTCACACTGCTCACCAGCACTATATTTTAAGCAATCACAAACTGAAATATGTATTCCATATGCAGTGCAGTTCTTGCATCTGTGATGGCATTTTCGACAAACCTATAAAAATACATAACAAAAAGTCATTAATAGCAGAAGATTCTCAACTATAAAAGAATTTAACAGTTTCCTACTAGAGTGATTTGTATCTTTAGTGGTAGTAACAAGCAAAATTTTGCAGTATTAATACAATTTTTCCCTCTGTTAGCCGTTTTAGTGGGAGGTAGGAGGTGAAATCAATCAGAAAAAAATCCGTGATATCTTTTCTTAATCTTTAATCCAATCAACCAGATTTAGGTATTTTAAACACTTTTTATGTGTTTCATTTTATAATACATATACACATACCAAGCATATTCATGAAGTGTTTTGATACTTTGCACATAAAAATTGAATTTACTAGATAATTTTCACTATTTTTCTATTTCTTGCATTTACTTTTTCCCCCAGCGATAACTGCATAAACTGCATTTAAAATAAAACAGCATATGAAAAAAAATTAAAATAAAACCTTTGAGAAAATTATACGCCTGCTTTGATTTCAAAAGCACTTCAATGCATTAAACTGATCATTGACATAACAGTGCTTCAACATTGACCTAACAGAACTTATTAGTTGCTTTGCTTACACATGCGTTTAAAATATAATAAAAAATGTGAAGAAGTAGGGCAAGTAGAAAAACCATAGGATGAACTGCATCATACATCTGTTCGTTAAAACTTCCCTGATAATTCATTCATTGGATCACAATATGTTACTATGTTATGAAGAACTATGTTAGTACAATAAGTTAATCATGGCTAATGTAAAATATTTCATTATAAATCAATGAAAAAAAAACAAAAATACCAAAAGAAGATCTTTAATTTTAGTTAATGGCAATGAAATAATTTTAAAGCATTTAAATAATTTTTAAAATCTGGAAATAGATTCTCTTTACAATTATTTTGACTTATTTATTAAAATTTTAGAAAAAAATGTATTTTCCAGGACCACAGAATCTAGAATTGGAAATAAAGTTGCTTCAAAATTGAGCTTCATAATTCTTAATAACTGCAAAGTAACATAATTTTCTTAATCAAGGGTACCTCTGAAAATTGAAAAGAGCTAATTGATACTCACTGTAAATTACATATAATAAAAGCCTTGTGTATAAATGCATAAGCTTTTTAAAAAAAGGTTCATTTGGCTTATTAACTTTGCAACTTAATTCCTCCTTGCTTAATTTAGCATTTAAAAAAAATTAACTTTTTGCATGCAAACTGAAGCTTAAAAAACACACTGCAGTTCTGTTAGTTACTACATACACTTGATGGTTCTGAAATCTGTCAGTGAAATGCAAGGACAAGACAATATAAAAGATTGCAATATATAACCTATCAAAACCATAGAGACGGAATTTGATAAACATATACAGAATCACATTTTATGTCTAACAAACATATATAAAAATAAAACAAAAAAAAAACTATATACACAGAAAAGCAATTCTGTGGGTTTCCTAACAAACATTTTGCTGCAGCTACATGAAATTTTAAAAAATTAAGTAAACTGTGTAGTTCCCCTAAGTAGAAACTAAGTAAACTGTGTAGTAGGTGGCACTTCAGTTTTGTATATATAAATAAACAAGGATTTTCCTGCCTCTTCCAACTTCTCCTTGGCCAAAGATTTAAAAACAAAATATTTGTGTATTTAAAGTAATTATTAAAAATATTTTAAATATACTATATCCAGCATTATTTTATTTCATTAAATCTATATCCTTCAAGATAATTTCATTCCCTTATTTAATTTGGTACTACACAGGTACCAAATACCAATACAGAAGATACTGATATTTTTGATTGCTTTAAGGCAGCATCATCTATTAACAAACATTACAGCTGTGCACTGAAATTTGTATAATATGAAGAACTATAATATCACCAAAATATTAAAGAATTAAAAATTTACATTCAAAAGCAAATGAAAGCAAATATTGTATGACAGACTCATTGTAATCCCTGTGATTCCTTCAGTACTGATATCACTACTGAAGACTTACACTTTTAAAAAATTTAATGTAAAAGAAAATATAAACAAAGGTTTACATTATTCATAAAAAAATTGTTTATATGTATTAGTGAGAAAATAGAAGTGCTTTTATTCTCTTTTTACATTCATCTGGCAATGAAAAGAGCCTTTTCTATTATTCTTTAAAAGGAAACCTGTTCATTAAGACACAATAACACGCCGAATAAATACTAATTCAGAAGTCAAACAACAAAAATCAGCATTAACAAAAATCAGCATTTAAAATTTACAAAATTTTGTAAATTAACGCTGATTTTTGTTGTTTGACTTCTGAATTAGGAAACCTGTTGTTCATTGCAGTTAAATTTCATGTAGTGGATCACTGCTTTCTGCATTTTACATCTCTGCGACAATTCTTATGTACCATCAGATATCCATTTTAGATACTTATATGTTGATCTAAATATCTAACTCTCAAATGAAACATTAAAAAATATAAAAACAGCTTATCACTAAATTGCTTGATTATAAATTTCAGATGACAATATTGTATCATAAACAATATAAACAGAAACTGTAACATTCCACATTTAACCATTCAGCTTTTGACAGCAAAAGTTCCCCCCCCCCAAATGTCATATGGAAGTACAGTCAAATACCGAAAATCCACCAACCTGAAATCCATCAACTCCTGAAATCCACGTAGCCTCTCAGAATATAAACATTCAGTTTATAGGTTCTGGAAACTGCAACACTGAGTATGAAATATCGAAGGAAAAAATACTTACCGAATAATGACATCATAATTACCGATTAACAATGAGGCAAAACGGAAATACCAAATTATTGATATAAAAAGTTTAAAAAAATGAGATAAAATAAATAAGTTTTTTTCCCTCTAATCTGCATTAAGGTAAAAAAGCAGACGATTCACTCAACTCTTTGTTCAAGTTCACGATTCACGTTGTTGTATTTTCTGAGCTTTGTTATTTCATTTCGAGATTGTTTAGTGCTGACTTTTTTTATCTGGATATTTTTTGTATAAATTAAGAATATTTTTAATTTCAGCCCTTTTTAATACAATGACAGATAAGAAGCACACTCATGATTTTATTGCTTGCAACGTTGAAAAATGTAAACACGTTGCATTGACGGTAAACGCAAAAACAGTAACGCAAAAAGTGCAAATTCTGCAAAAGATGGAAGCAGGTGCTACACCTCGATTTATAGCAGAATGGCATGGAATTGCGACATGATTGTGTATGATATATGGAAAAATAAAGAAAAGCTGTTGAAATTTTACAGCAACAGTGATTCTAACGCCGATATCCGAAACCGGAAATGTTTGCATGAGGCGAATTCAGCAAACCTCGATGCTGTGTACATACAATACAATGAATAATATAATCAATTATATATTAATGCATATAATAAATTATTGCAATAATGTATATAATAATTTAATTAAACGTATCTAATACGCCTTATTCATTTTGCACTTTTAGTCCGAATATTATGCTTTATCTTTTCTATCCTGAAATCCGCACAACCTCTGGTCCCAAGCTTTGCGGATTTCTGAAATTCTACTGTACTTTCGAAAAAGTGATTTTACTGTAATTTTTTCCCAACAGATATTAATTTTCAAGAGATAAAAAGTAAAATCATGAACCTGGTAACAATGACTTTAAGAAGTACGCATGACAGCAAAGCTTTTTCATTTGCAGAAAATGGCATTTGTTTTCAAAAAGCTTGGATTGTGTCACAAGAACCCAGAAAAGCTTCTCATTGGTGGATTGATCATGAGACAAACAAAATTTCATATGAGAGAGAAAAGTACAAGTATAGAAATAGCTTACAGATTTTCCAGTTAATGACTTCATGATTCCTTCTTCATGAGGTCCACTATACTCTTGATAAAAACCATCTGGACATGGTTCATCAGGTTTCAAACACTGTTCCTAGAAAATTTCCAAAAATTAGTATTTAAAAGCATACATTAAATTCAGCCATGAAAGTATATCATTGAGGTTAATTTAAAAGTAATGCATTAAGCATAGCAGAGTCTAAGTAGAATTAAACGTGTTTAGATTGGTCTTTGAGATTTTTTTCATTAAATTAAGAATTTATTCTATTTTATTTGAGGAAATTAACAAGCTTTTCATAGCAGGAAATACAAAAAATCTACTATGCATTCACCAACATTCATTCGAATTACAGATCTTAAATTTTTAGCTGGATGTACTAGCTGCTTACCCAATAAAAACACACAAGGGATTATGCAATAGTTCCTTTGATTGCCCCTCCCACTTAAAAGATGTCCAAGACCAAGACGAAATCCATGTCTCCCCTCTCAGAATCCAACACGGTGTCATGGAGGGGCGGCAGTGTTCTCAGAACAGGATGCAATTAACGGGCCTGCCACCAAACTGCAGGTGGCTCTTCCACATGGAGGGCAAGAGTAGATCTTGGCAGTACATGTAAACATCACACTTATAAAGCAGTACTCGGTAGTGGCTACTCTGTCCTGACTGGCAAGATGTTCGTAATAAGGTCATCTTGTTGGGGCAGGTCTGAGTGAGTGCTACATACTGGTGAATAGATGTACTTTAGTCTTGGGACCAGCTAATTACAACTGGTGTTGGGATAAATTACTGCCTACCATATTATAGATACAACATCACTGCAGAAACTATCAGGTCTTTTGTAGCAAGAAACTTGAAAATTCAAATGACACTTCAATATTTTGCCCTTTTGGTATCAAATGCATAAATTTTATACTCTTAAACTGTACGGTTCATTTTATATTTTCAAAATATTAAATTTCTCTTTCTTTATTACTAATAAATTTTCATGTTCCCAGAGTATTTTATATATTTGTGTTGCAGTGAGAAAATTGATGCTTATACAGTGTAACAAGTATTTATATAAATTTACATATTATGCAAGAATAAAATCAAAATGAAAAAACAAATTTTTTTTCAAGTAAAAAACACAGAAACTTACCACAATGTTGGGATCATATGCACTAACTATTGCTTTATCACAGGAATTACAACCACCAGGTCCTACAGTATTCCTTGGACCAGTACATCTGTAAATTTAAAAATTGCAAACTGTAAGTTCTTTTATATAATTCAAAAATAAATTTTCCTTTAGTATCTCCAACAATCAGAATTATTTTTCAGTTTTTCTAACTGACTGACATATTTTTAAAACTAATACAAAATCAGATTTTAACTAGTCTTTTACATAAGGTTTTTTACACAGTTCTGCAGAGTTTGTTTATTTAATTACACAGAAATTTTGAGTTACCCATTGACACAATTTTCATGGCATGGCATACATTCTCTGTTTTCATTGTACTTGCTCAATGGACATTGACTAACACAATATGGGCCATCTCGTGCATTTCGGCATTGAGTACAGTTACTTGGCCCCTATGAGAAGAAATAACTTATTTAACAAATTTATGGGACAGAATGTAAAATGTGAGCATAAAACACACACAAATAAAAAAAGATATAAGAACTTGCATTTAGTAAATTGCATCAGAAACTCACTTAAGCAAGACTTCTTGAATTATACCAGAAATTTCATAAATTACATAGAACTAAATTTTGCACTTTAAAAATTACACACATTTTCTTTGTAAATTAATATCATAGAATATTTTTATAATGTTGTACATAACAGTATGTTAATTTAATGTAACAGAAAAGGTGTATGAAAAAATAGACAGTTCTTATTTTTAAAAAAATATGTGATTTTTCACTTTCTCTTAACATTCTACAAAAAGTAGCAATATCTTCCTGGACTTTTTCCTTTTCTCTGAAGTGCTTATAAAATCATTTTGTTTTTCATGCTCTTTAATAGCATTTAAAATATTCCAAATAATATACTTTTTAGTCCCAATTAAATATGCTGTTCTTCTTCTGACAATTTTCTTCAGAGTTGTATTGAAATTATAAAAGAATTTTCACCCTTGCATCAAAAGCTAAGTTTATATAGTACATCTAAGGTAGTTAGTTATGTACATTTGAATTAAATTTTTGGGTAATATTTTCACTTATTATTTTTGATACATGAACAAAATATACACAGCTTGCACTAAACCAGATTTATTAGAAAATTAATTCCCACACTGAAACTCAACAACTGGTACGTGTACGTTATTTAATTTTCAAATCTCCTACGAACAGAAATTAAAAAAGAAAATAGAGGGATGTTTAATTACTTCAAATCAGCATACATTTAAAAAAAAATGTATGTTAGTAACTAGGATGCTTGGATCAAAAGCATATACCATAGTATGTTATGCTTCTGTTCAGCAGTATTTTAGAAGCTTTCAAACTCATTTTAAACTGTTGGGATTAAATGTTGCAAATATTAAAATGCATTTTAAACAGATTTTCTTCATTAAACTAATCCTTAGATCATTAATCTTCACTTCACAGTGCTATTACATGTTGAGGCAGACTGTTAAGAATTTGACCACTAGGAAGAATTAATATTTTTAATGTGGTACCCCCCCCCTCTCTTTTTTTTCAGAAGATGATAACTAAGGATGGATGTAACATTTTATCATAAATGGCGAAAAATACTTGTTAAAATGTGTGTGGAGGTTCAAATTTGAGTTCAAGTCACAGTTCATCTAAATAATAACAATTATTGAAAAAAACGAAGGGATTAAAAAAGGTAAAAATTTTAGGTTCCCTTTGGAAATATTGGAAAGTAGATTACGTGGATTACAGCTTTTGTATTTTGCAAAACACAGGATTTCATAAATGTCATAAAATGCAAGTCCCACAGAATGGATAATAGCATGATGAATGTTAATTACTATTTAAAATGTTAACTATAATATTTCTAAAATGGAATGAAAAATCACTGGAGAATCTATAAAAGTCATCAAGAAAAATTTTAATCTTTTCAAATTTTTCACCTTTCCCATACTGTGAACAACAGAAAGGAAAACATTCATTCGGAATCAGTTAATTTCTTCTACAGAAATTGACTTTCAATAAGTTTATATGGAACTATTTTTCCCTTAGCACATAAATAATATGTATCAGCTTTTCTTATAATAAAATTAATTTAATATTTTAGGAATGTAACAAGACGCTTAATTTTTTTTTTTTTTTTTTTTTTTTTTTTTTACTTACAGGTCCTAGGCATTCTCCTAGACATTCCTCATCACAGTATTCACATATATGATCACCAGCGTGGTAAATTCTAGAATAAAAAAATAACACATCAACACTCGTAATTATATAAAAATTTATTGCAACAATATTTTTAACAATAAAATACTGAATGGATATTTCCCAACCACAGCAGTGCTGTATTTGCCTATTTATATACAATAATTAATGTTCTTGCACTTAGCAGCAAGACAAATTATTGTTTTCACAGCAGACTTCATTTTTGCTTATTATGTCATGAATGAACAAAAAACATCAGAAAATACTAGAATAAGTTGCTAAATGTTTCAGTGAAAGCTCATTAGGTTATTACATTAAATGTTGAATCAATTTACTATTTAACATAATTTTTAAATACAGTACAAAGTCTGTAATCCGCACTCGTCGGGACTTCGGCGATTCCAATTATAGATCATCAATTTAAATCTGAAAAGATGGTATTAAGAAATTATACAATTAAAAATATGAAACAGTAATTTATGAAATAAAGAGCAATTATGATCTAAAGGGTATCATAATTTACAAAAAAAAAGCTTAATATTTATTTGTGTACTTTATTAAACATTCATCACTTTGTCATGATCATCACTTTTAGCACAACGAATCCTTTTTCTGTTAGTCATTGCAAGTGGGGTGTCGGAATCCACAAAATATTCAAAAAGTTCCTTTTTCTTTTTGCTTATGTCATATACAGTTGACCTTGCAATGTCATACTCCTCGCATAATTTTGAGATGGATATGCATATAATTTCGAGACTTTATCCATTTTTTGCAGCAATTCCACTTTTTGTTTGATGGACATCGAAACATGCTTTCGCTTTGTAGATCCTTTGGCAGCTCCAGAATTTGAAACTCCTTTTTGACATAATCGAAAGTTCAAGCTTACTTTTTATAAAATTGCTCTAAAAGTCTGCAAAAAATAATAAGCCGGATCCAATTAGAAGATTCCAGATCAGTGTAATCTGCAACATTAACTGAAATGCCTTAGATAATTTTAGCCTAGCTTATACCGTCTGTCATACATTAAATGCTCATGCATAAACGCATTATACATTTACGCATGCACATAAAGTTTGTAGCTTTGTGGTCCAAATTATAGATCATTCCGGATTATGGACATCTGGATTACAGACTTTGTACTGTACTTAATTGTAAAAATGCAAAACTGTTCAAGATTTTCCGTTGAGATCAAGTTAATATAAAAGTGATCACAATTGCAGAATTTAACAGATCTAGCTTAGTAAAGCAATTAATTTTCACATTTAGTACAGTTACATTTGCTTGAAATAGAATCTTTCAAACGAAATCTTTTATTGAATAGTTGAATGAAAAACACAAAAGGAAAATGTAATATTTAATTATTTCAGTGTTTCATAGCTAAAAAGATTAAATAAATATCTAAGTATGGAATGGAATGTTTTTGTCCTAGTTCTAATACAGAATTAAATTTTGGATCAAATAAGACTGTGTTGGAAAAAAAAAATTGCTCATTTTATGAAGCCAGTGGGTCTTTAAAATTCAGTATGGATTTGAAATCTAAAAGTCACTAGTGAACTGATTAACAACATACTTGTTTTGTAAAATATTTGCGTGGAGGTTTTTTTTTTTTTTTTTTTTTTTTTTTTTTAAATTCCTTTACCTAAAGCTATACTTTAAGGTATCCACAAAAGTTTTGCTTTAGGAAGTGATGGTGTGAGTTGAAAATGCAATGTTACAAGATGTATGTAACAATGTTAATATGTATTATAGTGTATACAGTAAAACAAAGTTTCAAAATGAGGAGTTAATTTCACAGAGTATACTTCAAACTTACCCTCGTGTAGAGTTGCAACTTGGTATACATGTCTCTTTTAGTTTGTAAGATTTGCATGAAAGACACTCAGAAGCACTCGATCCCCAGCAGCCATCATTTGAGCACTGTTCATGGCACACTAAACCTTCCTTTTCTGTTAAGGGGATATTCAGCTTTAAAATTTACATATTTGGCATTTGTAACTTTAATATTTGAACTTTCTGTCTTTACATGAAAAATGCAACAGAAAAAAATTTACTCACGGCAAACTTCTGGTTCAGCATTTCTTTGCAAAAGTGGATCAACATTAGTTGATCTGACAATCTGTTTCCAGTCAATTTTATTGGCAAAACACAGATCTGGATTCTCTAGAATTGCCACACCGCCAGACCGCACTTTACGTAGCGAACGAAGATTCAAACTCTGAAGAGAAGTCTTCACGATGAACAAAGCAGCATTTAATCTTTTAAAAAATTGTTTTTATTAGTGACTGATGTATAGGTAAAAATCTTATAAAACAAAAAATTAAATACATACAATAAATACTGAGTATCTAAATTTAGAGACAGAGAGGAAATAAAATTCCTTCAGATATGAAGCACTGGCAGATACAAAAATTTTCAACCTTTTTAAAGACAAATAAACCATGCCTTATTTACTTGAAATTATGGTACTCTGTAATGCCCAATACAACATGCATACACTGTATTATTAGTTTAACTGATGTTTCTATTATCTTACCAATTACATTTTACCTTATTTATAGAAGTTGCATGGAAATGGTAAAAAATAAATTTCAGCATTCAGGAGCTCTTAATATGTTATATAACCCCATATCTGTCTACATTTTGAGCTCATCCTTTGTTCATTAAGAACACATTAAAGACAATGATCCCATATGAGATATAAAAACTGATAATGAGGGAATATAAGGAAATTGTATTGAAAGGACAAAATTTTTCGAAAAGTAGACTACATATCTTTCACAGCTTGCCTATAGAACATGATGTGGATGCCTGCGATTCTTGTTTCTATTCCAGCATAATTTTGGATAGATAATATTTCTAGAGAAATTCTTCGTCTGATTTTATATGTTCATAAAAATCACCAAATAAAACTGAATGAGGAAAAACTTAAATGTCAGCAGTTTTCTTTTTCCTTTTCCTAAAAACACTTGTGTCACAAGAAAAGTATTACCGGGTAAAAGTCTTAAAAAAAAAAATCCTTACACACGCGCTAATATGTTTTTCTAAATTACTTTCAAAAAGGAACATACTAATTAATGACATTTAGTAGCAAAATTAATAAAGTGGATAGGCAATCATTAGCATTCAAAAATCCTAGACTTTTTCAATTCTGAAACAAAGCTCCAGACTTAATTACAAATCCTAGACAGTTCTGGTTGATCCTACAGTCTGGTAAACCTATTTATACCACTTCAAGCAGACATCAATAAATTCCCTGATCAATGGGAAAAACTCTCCTACCAGAATATCAGCAAACATATACAGTCTGAAGGTTAGTTCATGAGTGTATATGTCTCATGAACTATTTTAGATAAATAATTTCTGTATTTTAGAGAAAGTTGTTCAGAACACTAGTTAGCATACTTAAAGAATATTGATCATCAATGTTCGTGCATATACCTATTGCACAAACAAATTATAAGTTATTTATTTACAATGTATGGTGCCAGGTATAGTTTCAAGTATTTTAGGGACAAATTTACATTAACCATCGTAAGTTTAATTAAGCATGTTTAAATAATCTTACTCAGTAAGCTGACGGCCGTCAATGATTTCCAGATTTCTGAAATAGGATAAATTCTTAAAGTCTGGATGTGAAGCCTGGATATTCAGATAACCTGTCACTTCTTTCAGAGTGGAAAAAACCTCCAATTCGTCAGGATGCATCTTTGGAAATCGATCACCAAAAGTAAAGCTGCATTAAAATTAGAAATAAATATATAAATACAGGTGATATAAAGTCTAAAACTGATCCAAAAAGTACTGATAATTTTTTTTTCCTCATATCCTAAGGTACAGCACTTAATTTGAGTAACACCAACAATACACAGGTAAAAAGACTTCAGTTCAAAGCCAATAAAATAAATATTTTTCTCATAAACCAACATTAATATATCAATAAATAATATACTAACTTGATGTTTTAGAAAAATGAATTACTTCAAAATAATTAGTAATTTGAAAAAGAAATCTAGAATTCTAAGATACACCTCTGTTTAGCAATGTTTATACGGGGGAAAAAATCAAAAAAATAAAATGCAATAATTATGCTTTAATAGCACAATATTACAATGTAATGAAAATTTTGAGGTGAATAACAGATAATGTGATGTAACTGGTACATAAAGATCTGCTTCCAGCCGTAGCCAGTTTAACACCTCTTTCATTCTTAATAAAGTTAAACTGGTGCAATCTTCCCAATTGTTCTTGAAAATTACACTCACACTTTTCACATTTTTATAATAAAGAATGATGAACAACAGATAACACATTAGCAGAACAGCCAGTGAGAGAAGAATGTGTAGATTTCAAATGTGAAGGTTAGGTTAAGAATAGTACAGTTATAGTTTTACTTTTGTCCTATTCTTCAACTAAGGTTTTCGTTTGCAAATTTTAAGAATACAGTAAAAGTTCAACTATCTGAAAAAGATCAGGAAATGCCAAATTCCGGATATGCGAAAATTCCGGATAACTGAGGGTATACAAAATGCAATTCTTAGTAATAAAACCAAAGAAGGAAAAATTTCCAATCTAAAATTATAAAAGTTTATATTTATATATATATATATATTTTTTTTTTTTTTTTTTTTTTTTTTTTTTTTTTTTTTTTTTTTTTTTTAACTTGAATATCAAAAGCCTACATTTAAATTATGTGAGATTTTGAAAGAAAAAAAAAAGCATTCCAGATATAAACATTGAAGTAAAATTAAAAAGCTAGGTAGTAATTACTATATAAATAGACCTATTTGGTCTAAAAATTTTTTGCGCAATATGCTGCAAAATTAAGGAAATGAGAAGAAGATAAAATTGATTCGATTACAAAATTCCATCGACCATGGAAATTGGAGATCTCGCCACACTTGTATCATTCATTCCAGCAGAAGTTTGAAGGAACAGATCATTCTTTACTCAGTTAATCAATTAATCAACATAACAAACTAAAGGCATAACATGTAAAATAATTTTTGTCATGTTGCAAAGCCAGTGTTTATCTGTCACAATACTGAAAATATTCTACTGCATGTTGTTCCATGGAAGGCAAGTCCTAAATTTTAATAATTTTTGCAAAATGCAACTGAAAGGCAGTTCACTTAATTTTTACAAAATTTAAACCCACTTATTGATAATTAATCAGGTTTACATACAGACAAAGCACTATGTCACACTTGACACACTATTTGGTGACAGTTTTTGTTTGATTCAAGTGCTATTTGTGCTTTATATTACAGTTACAAATCTCTTTATTTCCTTAAATTTAACTTTAAAAAAAAAAGTTTCTAAAGATTTGAAAATATTCCTGTTACTTGAGCTTTTTGCTTAATTGAATGCAGGATAACTGGGCTTTTACTGTGTTATTGGTTGCAAGAATTTTTGCATTATCTAAATAAATACATCGTGAGCACTATATAAGAATCACATTACAGGGATTAATTTTAAAATGGCACAATTCAGAAAGATTTATTAAAAGTATATTACTGTTTTTAGAACAGAAAGGGAAAATAACAAAATTAAATAGGTGAAATTACAAACTAAGGATTTTGCTTCACGTATGCTTTATCTTAATGTATTTTAAAATATTTTCTAAATGATACTCTTCATTATTTTCTTGCCAATGCCAATGATTTTACATTACGGAGTGCCTATGTTTCAAAACCATTTACCTCCTCATCAGAAAAAACTAAAAGTGAGAAGAAATAGGAAAATGCATAAGTTTGTTTACTTGATGCAAGTTAGAGGGAGCCACATGTGCTTGAGAAAGTTTAGGGATAGCATAAAAAGTTAATGATTAATAGTAGAAATTTTAGTTTTTATTTTCATTTTCAAAATTTTATACTTTTTTGTCGTTTTATATTTTTTTATTTTTTTGTATTTTTCATAATTTTTTATACACAGTACAAACACTAAAGCAAAAAGCGGAGAGGAAAGATATTATCGATTACTAGGCTCATTGGCATGTAGCTTTAATTAATAGTGCAAATATAGCAGGGTAAACAGTAGTAGCAAATATTCATAGGTAGAAATAACTTCTGCAGGAAGATGTGATTTTTAATAAAACATATTGATAATTATGCTAAAGGCTTTTTTTCAGGATGGTAGATGCAATTATAGCATGAGATAAGCATTATGGCAGTTTGATGACAAGACGAAAAAGACGTGTCCTTCTTTCAATTATTTTTTTCGTAATTGAAGGAAACTTATTCATGCATTTAAATTACGTAAATAGTAACCATTCCTTTTTCATTTCTCTTAATTTTTGTATACACACTACCAATGATAATCTAAATTAGATAACAAAAATACATTTACTTTGATTATTAACTAAAAAGGAAACTTTAATAAATAACTGAAAGATTTTATTATTTCTAAGATCAAGTTCTTACTTTGGAAACACCTCTTGAAATCCATCAAATGTAGAATCTAAAATAGTCAAAGAACCCTCAATTACAGTACATCCTCTAAACCTGTCAATATTTCCAGAATGAAGCGCAGTTACACCCGTACAACCTAAATAGAAGAAAATATTTATCAGAATATAAAAATTCTGCATAACTGTAATTTTAAATTCATATCCATTGACAAATAAAAACACAGAAAGCATATGCATATAACATTTGTTAACCCTACTTACGAATTTATTTATTTTTTTTATATAAATTTTATTAAGAATACTAAAAAAATATATCTACTGAGACACAAACATATGTTTGATTCCGATGCCTCGGAATTACACTTCTTAACATTCTGTACCTTACATTTTATATTCAACTGCTATTAAATTTTCTATAATATACCAGAAATTTAAATTATTTCTTCAAACAGAATGGTAATCAATTCTGTATAAATATACAATCGGAATTTTTTTTTCTCTTACAGTTTAACTCAGCACAAAAACATGCATGAATGAAATTAAATCTTTACTTTCACCTACCTTGATAAGTTTTAAAAATCTAGAAAATTTTGTCTTCATTATATTTCTGGTTATTTTTCAAATTTTAGAATTTAATTATTATTTTAGTCTAAAATATAATATTGTTATTTAGTTAACCTATATTTTAGTTAAAATATAATAAATTAATTTATATCATGGTTACAATTAATGTTCTTGCATAGCATTTTACATCATTTTGAAACTAATTCAGAAGTCAAACAACAAAAATCAGCGTTATATTCACAAAATTTTCACAGGACTAGTTTTGATGGTTTTACCGAACCATCATCTTCAGCTGCAAAACCGCAAATGAACAAGATAGGAAATAATGATTAGATAAGATAAGAAAGCCTGGACAAGAATTATTTCCTATCTTGTTCATTTGCGGTTTTGCAGCTGAAGATGATGGTTCGGTAAAACCATCGAAACTAGTCCTGTGAAAATTTTGTGAATATAACGCTGATTTTTGTTGTTTGACTTCTGAATTAGTATTTATTCGGCGTGTTATTGTGTCTTAATCATTTTGAAAATCGTAAGCACATAATTTCTGTTATTATATGTGCTAAGTAAAATTAATCATAAGCTATTACTACTACATGCTAAGTTTTATTATTACATACATTAAATCCTGATATTGCATACACATATCATACCCCCATGAACCAACATACCCACCTGAGTGATTAATTCCTCATTAAAAACTAAACCAATTTAAACATTGGTCACTAACCCCTCTTTCTTCAAGAAAGTAAATTTACATTTCACAGACTAACTGAAAGCACATTCTGATCATTTGTACAATCACAAAATGTGTTGTCATATAAAATACATATACCAAAATAAAAGTAAGTGGCAAGACATCAGTAAAAAAATTAACGTTAGTGTAATTTTGTTACATTTATTTCTTGTGTTCATTTAGGGTTACATATTATTTTTTCTGTGTGTCTCCTATATGGCAGTATTTTTTTCCCCCCCACATCACAAATCTTGTGTTTGGCAATATTTTTGGTACTGTTCTGTTATCAGGACCAGATCTAGAAATGTATGTATGTAATATTAAAAGCACAAGGAAAAGACGGAACACTGTAGATGCGTGATTAGACCCATACTGAAGAAGAATTTGATTGCGTAGTATGCTAGTAATGCTAACTTGGTAATATCTAAAGAACTTGGCAGTCGAAGCAGTTTTAATTCCATTTTTATTTCCAATTGATATTTGTAGCCACAATCACTTGGCACTCTACTCGTGCCTTTCCACAGAAGATTTACATTTTTGATATTGTTAAGATAGAAAGCAAGCCAGCGAAATTACATCTTAGCACAGTAGAGAGCAAAAGCTGAAGTGCGTCGTTATGAAAGATGGAAGCACGCGAAGAGAAAAGTTTTGGTTTACAATTCGGTGATTGGTCGTCAAGAGGCATCTGGTATTAACGGTTACGTAAGATCGCATGATTAATTTGAATGACGCAATGCAGATAAATTATTACAATTTTAGAATAAAGAGGAAGAATTAAAGTTGATAGTTATATTATAATTCTGATTCATACATTTCATCTTACATATATGTATGCATGTGTGTATGTGTTCATGTATGCAAGATATATATAAAAGCATGAATGTATGTGTGTATGCACATACATACACACATGTATGCATTCATACATTTCTGAATCCCATCCCCATGACAGAACAGTACCATTTTTTTCATGATAGCCATGGTAATATATAAGCACTGAAAAATATTACTTTTTACACTATATCACACAATTACTTTTAACAATATACTGAACATGTAGATTAAATAAGATAATAAATTATAATGAATTATCAAAAATATATAACTTGAATTTCAGTAATTTGAGTACAATTTCATAAAATTCTTTGGTTTCAGTTCATTAGTTTTCCATCTTTTCCACTTCATATTATATACAGTCAAAAGTCGTTAATTCGGACACCCATAATCCGGAATGATCTATAATCCGGACCTCAAAGCTAAAAACTTTCTGCGCATGCGCCGCGTTGACACATGCGCATAGGCGTTTACGCGTGTGCATAAGACCTTTACGATTGCGCATGTACGTGTGCGCAGTTGCAGAATATGTTTTTGTGTGCGTGCTTAATGTATAACGGATGGTATAAGCTAAAATTATTTAATTAGCTATTTCAGTTAATGTTGATGATTGCGTTGTTCCTTAATCTTCGAACTAGATCCAGCTTATTACTTTTTCCAGACTGTAAGAGTAATTTTATAAAAGTAAACTTGAACTTTCGATTATGTCAAATAGAATTTCTGATGCTGGAGCTTCCAAAGGATCTACAAAACGAAAGTATGTTTCGATGTCCATCAAACAAAAAGTGGAATTGCTGCAAAAAATGGATAAAGACATGAAGAAGGTGACAGAGAGGTTAGTGAAAATGAAAAAATTTCGATTTACAAGTTAGTCCGTATTCTCGGCACAGCAATTATGGGATTTGAACAGCAGAACTTTGTAACTGAAGAAGAATATATGTCTGTTTGTAGAATTAAAGAGAAAGTATTATCACATAAAATGAAGCAACTTAAACAACTTACATTGAAAGAAATGTTTAATAAAGTAAACAAATAAATATTAAGCTTTTTTTTTGTTTGTAAATTTTGATACCCTTTAGATCATAATTGTTCTTTATTTCATAAATTACGGTTTTCATATTTTTTTAATTTTAAGATTTCTGCATGCCACTTCTTTACGAGATTTAAACTGATGATCTATAATCTGGAAAAATCGATAATCCGGAATCGCCGAAGTCCCGACGAGTCCGGATTAACGTCTTTTGACTGTATTTTATATTTTAATTATGTACAGTCTTTTGTCTATTTTAGCAATTTTATTATTAATATTATTTTTAATTCCTTAGTATAAAATGTGGCCATTTATTTGGAAAGTAAGAGATTTCCATCTTTGTATCATATTTTTAAATAAAGTAGAAACTTTTTTTTTTTCATTTGACAATCTGAGTGGGGATTTACCATGAAATTTTCTCCGCAGATAAAATAGCCATTAAGAAATTTTTATACATTACAAATCCACTTTTAAATTATGAAATCCAACACTACATATAGCCTAAATAATTCTAATAACTAGTAATAAATTTATAATGTGCTACACATAGCAGAAAGCAATTAACTTTAAAATTAGAGATAATAATATCTAAATAATAGAAATAAATCTGATAATTAAAATGTATCTAATAATTAAAATAGTTTCTACATTCCACCCTGTCCCTAAAAGATGAAATTAATGCAATCTCGTCATATCTGGCCTCTTCTTACCAGTAAAATTAATAGTGCAACAATTTTTCCTTCAGAATATTGTTACGAAATGTCCAGGCCCGGTAAGATAGCTCCCCCCCCGCAGGTTTAGGGTTGCCAGAAAATGGAAAGAGACAGCAGTTTTGCCACATTTGGTAAGAAATTGTCCATTTAGCGACAAAATTGGCAATATTAGATAGATGAATGGAGAACCTTCTGGAACTAGTTCTTACTGGTTTAGCCCAGAATGCTCTCGAACACAAGTCAGAAGCTATATAAACCCTGCTGGTACGCACAACTTGGAGAATCTCGAGAGTATGTAGAGTTTCGAGAACGAGTGAGCAAAGTCGGGAACTGTACTCTGGTGCTTTGCTGTGAAGCTGTCTCCTGGAGGCTGTGTTGCTGATTGTTTCAATGCGATTATAGTAGTTCTTAGACAACTGTAAACGTGTTATTGGAGCTGTCTTAAATAATAATACTGGCTAATAAAGTGTGTTTCGATATTTCATCAAGTGCCATTGTTATTCACTCCAAATCCAGGAACCCCATATGAATGTGAAGAGAGAAAAAAGCATAACAATATGTAAGTAAGAATTCTGGCAGCAAACTTACTTTTTGGGCAGGGTCCATCACAAGGCACACATTCTCCATCAACAGCTCTTTTAGTTTCTGGGCAAGACCTGACACATGCTCCACTGTCCCGCAGTAAATGTTCTAGAATAAGAGTAGGAAATTTATATACATTGCAAGACTGACTGACTAAATGAAATCAGAAATTTAATAAAAGAAACATGAAAAAAGAAAAATGTTAATATTTCTAAAGCCTTTTATTTTATAACCTCAACAACTTAAAAAAAAAAAAAAAAAAATTTACTTAAGTATCCATTTAAATATTGGGTGAAAACATTATAGCTATAAAAATTTTTAACTAAAGTAGTTTTTATTTATATAAATATGACATGCTTCAGAGTTTGCTTAAAAGATTTTATAATAAAAAATTATAATTAATTAACTGTTTTGATATTTCCTTTGCTAAGTTTCATACAGTAATTCAGAACATTAACATACCAGGACAATTTTTGACACAAGTTGCTCCATAGGCATATTTGCCTTCTGGATTGCTTTCCCAAGAATATGTTACAGGATTATACCTCCTCATTGGAGGACATTCTTGCTTACAAACTCCATTGTCATCAAAGTTTTTGCAAGCCTAAAAATGAAAAATACATGATGAATGTTTTATATCTTAGATGCAACTAAAATTGAAACAGTGTGTAAAAATTAAGTACAGAGAAAAAAATTGGTATTTCTCTGTTAGAGACACCAGCGAAAAGTGAATGTGTGTTGTGTATGTTCATGCACACATGCAAAATATCTTTATAATTTCTGAGTGTAACTTCTTACACACAGACTGGTGTTGCTTTAATAAAAACGTATCTAAAAACAAAAAATATACGAAATAAAATAAATAAATAGTTCTGATATTCATTTAACACAATGCAGTTAATAAGTAAATTTAAAAGAGATTTAGAAATTGGCAGAATTTGAAATGAAATTTATAAAATACATAACAAATTTTGAAAAATTACTAAAGCACTTAGAAAGAGAGATAACACATGAAAAATATTTGATGAAATAACCAAAACAGAATAATTATTTCAGTAAAAGAGACACACTAATACGATATTAAATGCATGAAATTCATGCCATTAATGTCAAATAAATTCACATTGTAAATTACAGCAGACAGGTCCCTGATGAAAATGCCATATTTACTCAAAAATAAGACCCATCTTGCATTTTAAAATACATTCGAATAAAAATTAATATATATTTATTTTGTTTTGTAATAATTTTGAGAATTAAATTCATATTCTTGTAGTTGAAGGAATATTTTTTCTCACCAAGCAATCACTCTGTGTTGGCCCAGAGCAACCTCCAGCACAAAAAAGATGACAGCATTCTCTAGGATTTGGCCCAAAGCACCTGCCTTGGTGGCACTGTGGTGAGCAATTGATTTTTGAAAATTTTTGACAACTATGAGGTCCTGGCCCCCAACAGCCAGCTTCACAGCTTTTGTGGCATGATGGACCTAAAAATGCAAGTATACAAATTAAATACTCAAAGGAACTTGTTGTAATACAGTTATATAAAAATGCTCTTTTACAAATTAGAATGTTCTGAAATAAAAATTATAAAGATATTTTTTGTATAACTTGCATCTATTTAAGAAAGTTCTATCTAGATAGGACAAACATAAATCTACACTATTCTTAATAGACAGAACAAACACAAATTACAATAAACATGTATAACAGGCCAGTAGTTGGAAATAAAAATCTACAACAGAATACTATCAAATAAAAGTCCATAAATGAACAATGTTTTTAAATATGTAATGAGTAAGAAAAAAAATGTTTCTAAAATTAATATATGTACCAACATAATACTTTGTAAATAAATATTTCATATACAATAATATTCTAAACACTCCAAGTTGCCAAGTGTTGACTTCCAAACCTTAAATTTCTCAAAGGGGCCCTGAGTAAACAGTATTTTCCTCAGACTATAATTCTAAAATGATCCTCCTATAGTACCTTGACTGTTTCTTCCAACATTTACATTAGCTTAATGGGCCAGACATATTTCAAAAGGCATGCCTGTATCCTAAAGATATCATGATAAATATTTGTCAAGGTACATATATAGCTTAGACCCTTGGAGAGTTAAATAACCGAATTTTTACAGTATGGTAAAACACTTTTGAATAAGTAAAAAAATAATAATTTTCATATTTGTATTAAAAATTAAAAGATAATGATTTACTGACTCATTTTATCCTATATTCCAGAACAAGGATTTCATTATAAAAACTAAATAATTAAAAAAAATTTCTGTTTATTTACAAATTAAAAAATCTGGAGCATTACTTACATCTTTTTGTGGACCCTTCCCTTGTAGAATTGTAAATAAATGGAAGCTTCATATGATTACGAGTTAGAATTTCTTCCCAGTTGATTGTGTCAATATAACACAATTCATCATTATCGAAGAATCCAACTTCGCCCGCCAAAATATCTAAAAAACAGAACATAAATATAATCAACAAAATTACAAAGAGATATACTCAATTATAATGGAAACGTATCTAATAACACACAAAATTTTAGAACAAAAAGTATAAACCAAATATAATTATTTGAAAGTCTCTAAAAAGAAATGTATCCACTTTAGAACAGTCTTTCATAGAATGTTTTAGTAAAAAGACAGAACAGTCTTTTACAGACTCTTAAGACTCTTTAAAGACAGAACAGCCATTTACAGTCTATTTTAAAATGCACTGTTTTTTAAAAATTTCAAAAAATAATAAATTTAGATATATCACACCACTCTAAAAATACTTTAAAACAATGACGTTTATGAAAACCTCATTAAAAATTAACCTTCTTTAAAATTACCAAGAGGTAAAATTTGGGCATATTTAAAGATATTTAGGTTCACAGTATGTCGTAAATATTTTTAAAACTTAAAAATAATAATGATAATAAATACAATTCCAAATATTTTTGTTTCAGAGACAATTTTTTTAAGAATAAGCATTACATTTTAGAGATTACATCATAATAAAGCACTCAAAATTCAGAGACAGTTTTTATAAAACTTAAATTAAAAGTATCTATTTGTTCAGGGCATGCTTAAAATTATAAAGCAAGATAAAAATAATTTTTAAATGCCTATTTCATAATTGTGCAAAATTTTCCTTTAAACATTTTGTGATCTTTTGTATTTTAGAATTTTGCTTCTGGATGCTAGTAAGCCAATCTATTAAACTAAATACTAACTGAAGAATTTAAATCTTGTACAATTAATAGAATGCTGAAGTATCAAATCACTTAAACACAAATCACATTCAACAGCATTAAATTTTTGAATAAAACTGTGAAAAAGAATGCAAGTGGCTGTGAAAATTAAACTGAAAAAAAAAAAAAAAAAAAAAAGCATTAACTCAGATTAGATCAGAGGTTCTCTACCTTTTGACTAATGCGTACCATCGAAACAAAAATTGAAAACCTTAAGTACCACCACTCTTGAATGAAGCTAAGATCGCATAAATTTACTAGTGTTAGAGAGAAAAAAAAAAAAATCAGGATGTTGGCGGTTTTAATTTTTGAATTTAATAGTTAAAAATACTTTGCTTCTTTGTGTACCACTTATTTTTCCCTTGAGTACCACCAGTGGTACACGTACCATTGGTTGAGAACCTCTAGATCACATAGAATTAACTCAGAGTTATAATTAGCTGTTGATGTGCTTTGTGCAAGATTTTATAATGGGACTCCCTGGACCCTGTTCTACTAAAACTTGCATAAGCCTTGCATTAACTGCTTGCTTTGAAGTTACATGTTCTTAACTTACTAATTCACTTACAATTCACACTATACATATTTCATACAAAATAATCATAACAAGGCACTTACCACGTAGGGCTGGCAGTTCCAACATATCCAAATTGGTGTGAGCTACCAAAAGAGCGAAATCTCCAGGTTGCAAATCAAATAAATTACGACCACGAATAATCATGAGTTTAGGAAGCACAATACGACGAATGTTGACATGAGAAATGAGTACATAACCAGTTACTTCTCTTATTTCCTTCAAGAAACTTAAATCCTGACTATCATCCTGGAAAATTCAATGATTTTTATCAGATATTTTAATTAACATTACAAATTATAAAAGATCTTCATTACAAAAAATAAACAAACAAATTATAAAATTATAAAAGATCTTCATTAGACTACAAAATTATGAAAGATCTTCATTACAAAAAATTAATTTTTAATAATAAGTATGACTTACATGATTATAACAATTGTATTAAATTATTAATTATACATCACATTACAGAATTTAATTTTTAAAAATAAGATAATTCATTTTTAAAAATATCCAAATATTTCACCTTTAGCAATTCACTGAAAAGTTAAAATACAGCACATTTTGTATTTTAGAAAACAAGTTTAAATCAATTTAAAATTAAATGATTCATCTCTATTTTAAAAACCTCATTTACGCAAGTAGAATTTCAATTATATAATATTATAGGTTAAGGACAGATATTTGGATTTAATATCACACACTGAAGATCCCATAATTGGAAAATGTTATTAAAAATTGCAAACAAAAAGTGTACAACTAAATGAATTAGTGGGAAAATTAGTTCAGTTAAATTTTATTGAAAATTTATAAACACCTGACTCAAAAAATGCATTTTTAGAGTATAAAACAGTAGTCTGATCCTTTTCAAACAGTAACTGAAGTTTCATTCAGCTAAAGTAGCAATAAATATCACCATATAATCCAAAATTAGCAAAACACAAAAAGTTTCAACAAAGCTATAAAAGTTAAAAAGCGAATACCAAATATGTGTGATGTTAAAAAAATACCCTATCAGTAAGATAGATTAACTGGCTATAAATCAAGCAATTAATTTCAGGTTTATTATATAATAATTATTACATAATAATTAAAAACAGATGGCACAATAATCTCTCCAAATAAAACTGATTAATCAGAAGATTAATGTATCTAACTGAAGATAATAGTTACTTCAACACTTCTTTTCATAACCACTGTTACATAATGTGAATTGTAAATAGGATTTTTCATATTCACCATTCACAAAACACCAGAGCTAAAACATATTAAAAAGTTCAATCCCTCTATTATGTTTGAATAAATAATATCAGCACTATGTTAGAAATTACTTTTTGATGCAAAAGAAAATGATATAATTACCTGAAGCCACGTAATCTCCAGATTTCCATCTACATGAGTACAGTTCGTATACCTGTCTCTAAGATTTTGATAATGGTGGTCCCGATTAGCAGGCACAGACATTCTTCCCGATGTGCCTATGCAGACTATAAAAATGCAGAGATATATATTAGAATAAGTTTGATATATATATATATGTGTGTGTGTGTAAGATAAAAATATATGAATCAAAATTTTAGATTAAACTATAAACATTAATTCTTCCTCTCTATTCTAAAATCGTAATAACTTATCTGCATTGCGTCATTCAGATTAATCATGCGATCTTACGTAACCGTTAATACCAGATGCCTCTTGACGACCAATCACTGAATTGTAAACCAAAACTTTTCTCTTCGTGTGCTTCCATCTTTCATAATGACGCACTTCACCTCTTGCTCTCTACTGTACTAAGATGTATTTCGCTGGCTTCTTTCTATCCCAACAATATCAAAAATCTAAATCTTCTGTGGAAAGGCACGAGTAGAGTGCCAAGTGATTGTGGCCACAAATTATAAATTGCAAATAAAAATGGAGTTAAATCTGACGCGACTGCCAAGTTCTTTAGATACTACGCAATCAAAATTTCTTCTTCAATATGGATCTAAGCACGCATCTACAGTGTTCCGTCTTTTTTCCTTTGCTCTTATTATGACATATACATAATTTATTTATTAATGGATTATTTAGTATATTGTCTCCTTTAAATGAAGGTAGTAGTAGAATTTTAGTGGAAAAGTAACTTCAAATGAGATAATATTCCATTTGTAAATAAATTATATTTTATTACTTTTCAGCTTTTATGCAAGTACTATAAGGCAATTTATTATGATTAATTAATATATTTACTTATATATATAAAGACATAAAGTAAGAAATTTAGAACTAATTTTTTACAAAGACCAAAAATCAAAATTCATAATTAATAAATTTGTAATAAATACTCTTATAAATGCAACAAAGAATTTTAAAAATGTTAAAAACCAAAAATTTTTTTCAAATTTATTAATTAGGAATTTCAATTTTTGGTCTTTGTTAAAAATTAATTCTAAATTTCTTACTTTATGTCTTTAATGATAATTTTTCTGAAGCTTAATGCACAAAAATACTAGGCATGTTTATATTTTGTTTTCAAGAATTGTTTTGTATATATATATAGAGAGAGAGAGAGAGATAGAAATATTTCAACATCTAGGAAGGATATGTTTTTACGTTATGCTTTTGTTATCAGGACTAGATTCGGAAATTTATATATGTATGTATGTACGTGTTTACGTATGCATGTGCACATGTACACACTTATGTATGTATGTATGTACATACACATTAACACTAATGCATTGATCAAGTATACACATACACATGCATACATTTCTGAATCCGGTCCCAATAATAGAAGAGTACCGATTTTACTTGTATGATACTAGATTTTAGGATGGAGGCCTTTCATGAAAGCAAAGTCATAATTTTATTTGGAATTCCATAAAAAAAAACAGCTAATATATGTTAAAAGAAACTTTTAAAGAATGATGTAGCAAAACCAAATTAAAAGCTTGTAATTCTTTTATATTTATTCTTAAATTAGTGTAAAAGAACATTCACAGCAGTTATGTGTAAAATAATTCAAAATTTAGTTGAAAGAAAAATCTAGAATTAAACTCAAAATAAAAATAAAAATATCCATTATAATTCATGGCAGGAGTTATAAAATACAGATAAATAAGATTAATAAAAACAGGATATGATTTTTCAGTAAAAAAATTGAATACATTTGTTTTCTTTAAAATTATAGTTCATAAATATAAAATATCAAAATGCCATAAATTTGATATATTTGTCAATTAATTAGTTAATAGTTTCATATTTTATATATCTCTTGTCTTTCCTTTTTCAAAATGGAAATTGCGGTTCCCTTCAATCGTGAAAAGTAACTACAATTATTTTTTATGAAACAGTTAGAGCAGCAGCCTGAATGAAAAAATTAACAATACCACATACATTCAATATTAATATTAAGAGATATATCCATTGATAGAGAGACTAATAAAATACAAAATCTTTCTTAACATTAACAAACATGCCGTCCAGATGGGAAAGTGGTTAGTAAATCTGACTGCTGAATCAAAGGGCATGGGAGTTTGAACCCCCACGATGGCATGGATGTAATTTGTTTGTTCCTTCACAGAAGGCAATGGTGGCCCACCTACTAAGTGTCTCCACAATAAAGGGAACCACTGCTTCTGTCCTTAGTAGTGGCCAAAGCCTATACATGGCTAGAATTAGTGCAGGATTTACATATAAATTACACAAGCTGTAGCTTAGGGCTCCCCTCTTGGTATCCAAAAATCATACTTGGTACTTACATATAAATATCAGGACTTATAAAATGCCCCATATCTCAAATAGCTTAGGGCCTTATCAAATCCGGCTCTACTGGCTCTACTAGAACCCACCACTGGAAGGGGGAAGATTAACAAATATTTTAATTTTCATTCCAAAAATGCAATGAATGTTTAAAAAATCGAATAGAAATGCCCTTCAGAATGGACTTTAAAAATTATCAGACCTCTGACAACAAAATTAACACTAAATTCACATAGCAAAGGCAGAGCTTCCTTTGAAATAAACTCAATTAAGAATCTATACAGCAAAGAATATATATGTCTCTATAACATATTTCCAGAAATTTCTAAAACTTTTCTTGGATGCATGCACTTATAATAACCTTATCTTAACATTTCTAGGAATTTGGGGGAAGAAGAAAAAAGAAACTAAATTTGGCAATATGTCTCCAAATGCTGCCAAGAAAATGAGGTTTTGATTTTTTAATTTTGCTACAGTTTATGACTTAAAAAAGAATAAATTTCTTGTACTGAACTAAAACAAAGAAGGGAGCTTAAACACATTAACACAAGCAAACTTGTATAAATTTTTAAGAGTGCCTTAACAGTTCGCAATGAAATTTTTAAAAATGTCTTCTTACTTTTTCCTTTCATCACATAGGTATCTTTGTGATGCACGGCTGCAGCACCTAGCTGACTTAGCACAGCTAGTAGTAGCAGAAGCATCACAGCAAGCCCGGTGCACTGCATGGCTGCGAGGGACTTAGAACCTCAGTGCAGTACACCAGGCTTGCCTCCTATTAGATATTGAATGAATACCCTCAATGCCCTCTTCTCTGCTGCAGCTCCTTATTAGCATTTTCTGTCAACTTCAGAACAGTTTAGCTTTCCATAGCTGAAAGAAAAGGATTTAGAAATTACTGATGGATCAATTTTACAAAACATTTTGTAAGACATTTTGCAAAAATTCTTTTATTACATGTTTACATTTACTTGAGTATTACAAACATAAACAAGAACAAGAGAAAACAGCCAATAAATAAATAGCATTTCCAATATGATATTTTACAATCAGACTCTAGTTTCAATGCCTAAAAGTAATTTTTTACCTAAAAGAAGATAAGTCAACCATTTTTCCCTCCTGCTGTTGTCGTCACTTGTCATAAAATGTTGTTACATTTCTTATGCAAATGAAAAACGTAGATCATTTCATTGTGTTATTAAATAAATATTTTTTGAGGCATCCCCCATCTCCTCAACTGAATGTGTACAAATTTTGGATTACGATTCTCAAATGCAATGACGGATTTCATCATCTACACATTACAGTAATGAGGATATTCTTAATACATAGGCATACTGGGCACTTGCCCGGGAGGCATGCTAATCCATTTTCATTTCTTTTGAGTGGTTATCATAGGGGCCGCAGCACACTAGTTTGCCCAGGTGCCCATAATGCTGTTAAGATGACACTAGCAGTGGTCACAATACATAATGCAAAGATGGTAATTCCCTTCATTAATTCTAGAAAGGGCAGAAAAATGCAGCAAAGGACACAAAGCTGTCATTCGTTAGAGACTGCAAAGCTTCCAAGCAATGAAAACAATAACACCTGCTTTAAAAATAATGACCATGTAATTCTTAAAACAAATCTGCTTTTTTATCAATGTTCTTATACAAAACATTTTTGAAAGTATTAAAAAATACATAACAGACATAAACAACAATACTCAAACTTGGGAAGCAAGCCTCTCTGCCTAAACATCTAGAAATGGCCAGCAAAGATTATCAAGTATAACTGTTCTTTATTTTTCCTTTTAAGATTTAAATATCATGGTGCAAAATAAATTAATTTAAAGCAGAATTTATGACAGTAAAACAAAAAAATTCAACGTAATAATTATACAACACACTCTCTTCTCTTCCTGTGAAAAGAGAAAAAGAATGTAAATCTTAATTATTGGATTAAAAATAAATTCATTGTATATACAGTCAAAAGTCGTTAATCCAGACTCGTCGGGACTTCTGCGATTCCGGATTATCGATTTTTCCGGATTATAGATCATCAGTTTAAATCTGGTAAGATGGCATGCAGAAATTCTAAAATTAAAAATATGAAACCGTAATTTATGAAATAAAGATCAATTATGATCTAAAGGGTATCAAAATTTACAAACAAAAGCTTAATATTTATTTGTTTACTTTATTAAACATTTCTTTCAATGTAAGTTGTTTAAGTTGCTTCGTTTTTTTACGTGATAATACATTCTCTTTAATTCTATAAACATACATAATTTCTTGTTCAGTTACAAAGGTTCCGCTGTTCAAGTCCTATAATTGCTGTGTCTACCGACTAATTTGTCAATCGAAATTTTTTCGTTTTCAATAACCTCTGTCACTTTCTTCGCTATCGGAAGCGAATTATAATGACGAGGAATTTGATTTAAATCATATCAAAGACGGAGTACATCGAGATGAAATACTACATTTAGGAAGGAATTATAAGCCAAATAAAATAAAAACATCTGCCCTGATGATAAGGATAGTGTTGACAGATCAACTTCCAGTTCATTGCGCGCCGCGACGTTCCCCCCCCACACACACACACACGCAGAGCAGCGTTAAATTGATAAACAGATTTCGGAATGGTTAGATTAACAAAGGATATGCCTTTATCCATTTTTTGCAGCAATTCCACTTTTTGCTTAATGGACTTCGAAACATACTTTCGCTTTGTAGATCCTTTACATATTAGAAAATATATATCAGAAATTCTACTTGACATAATATTTTGACATAATCTATTTTTGACATATCTATGTGACATAATCGAAAGTTCAAGTTTACTTTTATAAAATTGCTCTAACAGTCTGCAAAAAATAATAAGCCGGATGCAATTCGAAGATTAAGGAACAACGCAATATGCAACATTAACTGAATTAGATAATTTTAGCTTAGCTTTTACCGTCTGTTATACATTAAACGCGCATTCGTAAACGTATTTTGCGCATGCGCACACGCTATTCGCAGCCGTAAAGGTCTTACGCGCATGCGTCAATGCGACGCATGCGCAGAAAGTTTGTAGCTTTGAGGTCCGGATTATAGATCATTCCGGATTATGGGTGTCCGAATTAACGACTTTTGACTGTATAATGAAATTTCGGATTTGACATAAATGATGATGATGATGATGGAAGTGAATAGTTTTATGCAATGAAGATGCAACAATGGCTGATTTATTTCTGGCATAGCATTTCTGAAGAGTTCATATATACAGTTATAGTTATTGGCTCATGTTATTCATTAATTACAAACACTCATTTCACATACAATAACATTTTAAGAATGGCATTACCAATGACGATAGATCGAATCAGCAGATTACATGTTAGCCGCAGGAAACAAAGGAATGGTGTGAGAATAAAATTATGTTACTGATGTTACATAAAAAACGGTGAATTAACATCATTTCTGAATAAAACATCCTATCAATAATGGTTTTAAAAAGTTTTGGTTTTAATACCATTGACTAAGAAACTTCATTTTCTTTTTGCCGTATGTGTATAACTCAGAATAAAAATTATTAAATATTACTTAAGGTATTTATCAACTTTTGGCAACTGTTATGACAAAAACTTTCCATTACTTAGCAAGAAATTTAAATACTTAACGCCATTCGTAGTTTAAAAAAATGGGGAAAAAAAAAAAACTGAAAGCTTTTAGATTTTACATTACGTCCAAAGGCACTTTTTTTTAACATCTTGTGTCTTACCTTTATTTATTAAATATCATGTTCTTTGCACTTAAATAATAAAATTGAATTCAACATCAATATCGCGAAATAATTTTAAATTTTAAAATGAGCATATCTTTATAATTTCCGATACACTGTCTTGCGCGCTGGAGAATATATTTTCATTTCCCGCTCTCCCGTACAGTGTTGCCATTGCTCGCTTTGAAATCGTTGAGTTTGTTAATCAAGAATTCGCTAAAGTGTTACAAAATACGAAATCAATAAGAAAACAGATTCCAAATTTGGGCTTCCAGATGCCCATATTCGGTGGAAGATTACGTTATTCAAAATTTGATGGCTCTAGGTACCGTCGTTTTATTACAATGCGAGAAACATCTACATTTATGCAGATTCTTCATTATTTAATTTCTTTAAATATAACACAGGACGATCATATTTGGTGGCAACAATTTGAAAAGTGATACGCTGTTTGTAGTGATTCAACGCAAAATGCCAAAACGAAATTAATAGCCCAAGGGCTAATGCCCTTCGGGCTTTTAAAAAAAATAGCGACAAAATTAAGCCTAACATAAACAATAACACGTTGCCTTCGGTAGTAAATCCCACAGTTAAGCCTATTTACAATGAAAAAATAACATATTAACGATGCAGAACATACCAACAGCCCAACAATATGGCCTACATTCGAACTCTTTGTTTAAAGCTCTAGCACCCGAACTTAATGCAAAATTAATAAGAAACAATAATGGTAGCTTGCTCAATGTTCGAGCTTATAATGCTGTTGGGGACAAGGGGGGAAATCGGCTGTAATTAACTAATGATATAAATTTAAATAACAACGCCCTCGCTGATGCAATTTCATATTGTCCTTCTGTGCCACCAAACGATCGGCAATAAACAGAGAACAGCTATTCTTTCGCAAGGTAATCCAGATGTTAATGATAAAAGCACTAACTTGTTTTCTTTATATTTTTTTCTCTGCTAACCATCCCCAAGAAACAAGGAATCTTTTTTTTTAAAATTGTTTGGAATAATTAATGAGAATAGGATCTTGCAGCAACATTAACCCCATGCAATGAAGGTCAGATGACTTTAAGAATTCAAGGCTGGCAATGGTGTAAGTGCGTTTTAGAATTTTGAGTCACTGAGATAATACTTAAAGGGCAACTACTACACAAAAAGTAAGAAATTGCCAATTTTTCAAATGTTTTCTGATGTTTCAAATGTTTCACTCTTCTCTTTTCCGAAAATCTAACACCTGGTCAGCAATTCATAAGGACCATGCTAAGCAGTAAAAGCAATAATCTGCTAAAGGCTCTTGTGACCTAGAAAAGATTTGATTTGATTTGAGTATTTTAATGTAATCAAAAACTAAGCAAAAACTAACATTAGCTTGGTTCTGCTTTTATAAAACTAATTAATCAATTTTAAGAAAAATCTGAATAATTTCAGATTTTATAATATACTCAAGGGGAGCTTTCTTTCATTTACACACAAACAGATGTTTCGAGGACATTTGGGCTAATGTCTCTTTGGACTAAAAATATTTAAAAACTGCATATCTTTAGAATTTCTGGCGAACTGGAGATAAAAATGCTCCCCCCCATACAGTGTCGTCATTGCTGGCTTTGAAATCAATAGGTTTGTTAACCAAAAATTCGTTAAATTTTTACAAAATATGAAATAGATAATAAAACAAATTCCAAATTCGGGCTTCCAGGTGCCCATATTCGAGTGGAGGACTACGTTATTCAAAATTTAATGTCTCTAGGTACCGTTGTTTTGTCACAATGCGAGAAACATACATGCATTTATACACATTCTTCACTACTTCTAGGCCTATTTTATACCCTAAGAATGTTAATAAACCAACTACATTAGAAACAAGACAACGACAAGAATGTTTACTAAACAACAATTGATTTCTGCCCTGTATTTCATTTGATATTACCAGGCGTCTCTTCCGTGTATTTTACTGCAGGTTACAGAAATAGTGTAAAACATATGTATGTAAAAAGATATGTGAAATAGATTTTCTTAAAATTCTGTTTAAAGGATAAAAATTTTGCTTTATTAGATGACAGTAGTAGTTACAATTGTGCTTAGTATCTATGCTATATCGCAGTTCAAAATAAATCTTG